AACACTTTATCACCAAACTCCTGTACAAAACTACGCAACCTTGCGCTCCTTGAACTACATGTACTCACTTTAGGCATTGTAAGGTCAAACTGAAGTCTTATAACGCCCTCCACATATATAAATAGAATACTTCTAAGCCCTCCAAGAAAGAATGGGATGTATATACCTTATAGGAAGACGGAGTACAATAGGAAAATACCCGTTACACTTGCCTCCCTCCCGCCTCGACTGGGAAAAGCCGGCTTGCCAGGTCATAAATGCTACATTTCACAAATTTTCGCCTTTGTAACTGCAAGTACAGTCCAGTCAAAAATATGGTTTTTAATACGAACTTCATGTACTTGAACTCTATTCCACATTGAAGCAACAGTCCAGCCTGGAATTTATTTTGTAATACTAAACATTATGGAACCGAAATTTTACATTATATCAAAGAATTGTTTCTAAAATGACAAAAATATGACCTTATTTCAAAATTATGCCAAAATATGCTGTAAAACCAATAAAACTGTAAAATATGCATTTATATGCACAATAAAAAGGACATAATTTCAATAAGAATGACTGGAAACATGCATAATTACATTTAAAAATAGGAATAAACCCTAGGAAAAAAATATGACATGTCATAGAAATCCGGGCCCTACATATTACCATTAAGCCAACCAGCTGAATATGCTACTGTTTCAGTACACTAAACACATAAATCAGAATTCACTATGCCCTACTGCACTTCAAATGCAGCCTTACATATATAGTAGACTTAGTACAGAATTCTGAATGTTACAGGGTAACATACTTTCTTTAATGCATCTTGGAGACCTGGAGACAAAGTAATGCAAGCTGCTACAGTGCCCAGGAGCAGCATAACTGCATACATGACGCGTGTTGATGTTGAATTGCGACATGATGGACAGGCTGAGCAACACAATCCACAGGCAGCACTCCCACAGCAACATGCCAGCTGCGGAAGGAACAATTTATTATATTACAGTTAATTTAAGTTCCAAAAGAAAAACTACTGACATCTATCTTGATTTGATCACCCACACAATATTTACAAAGAGTGCAGAATGAAGTGCTTCATGTTTACATAAGGATCTGTCCAACTGCAAGACAATTTGATAGGTTTTACAATACAATAGCTTTTTATTGTTACTGCAAGGCCAGAGAATCAGCCCTTGTCATCTGTTAATAACTGCTTATTCATAATATGCATCATTCTCTATCTGGAGGCCCATTCCTACATCCACAATCTGAAAAAAGTGACACACATTTATTTTTCTTCTGGCTGAAATTATACACCATATAAAATCAATATTTCATGTCATGCACCAAATTTTTGTACAACAAACAGTTTTTGAGAAATGTGATAGTTTGATTTGCACTTCATGTGAAATAGGGATTACAGTAAAACATGAAGACCACAACAATACATCATCTAGTAATATACAGGGCTTCTTAAATAAAATTTAAATCTACTAGTCTCTTTACAAATTCCATCAATCTAGTCTCACAGTATGCTTCACACAACAAATTCAGTCACCAGTAGTCTCAAATAACTTACCCTTGGCTAGTGGATAAGCAAATTTTTAAGCCATGTTTATGTATGTACAAACAGTATTATTATTGCAGGTTTCCCCATGCACCGTGACTAACAGTCTATTGTACGCCCCCCCCCCCCTTTGATATTCTACCAGTCGCCATACCCTACCGGTACTGGTGCTTACTATCAGCCCCGTTCAGCCAACGAGGTCGGCCCTTGGTACCCGATACTTTCCCCATCTACCGGAGGCATTGGAAACTACTTGGAGGGGAAACTTTGCCTAATTTTGCTCAGAGGTCTCCTAGAGAATCTACGACACAGGACCCATGGCTTAAAGTCCCTCCCAGAGGACTTGTTCCCTGAATTTTTCCACCCTTAAAAATTCCACGACCTCCACCGGGTCCACCTTCACTACAATAGTAACTTCACAAATACTTACTGTTTGTAAGCGGCCTCCGTAGTCTAGGGGTAACGTTCCACCTCATGACTCAAGGTACTATTGTAGTGAATGCCTTGCTATTTTCAAATGAGTTTCATAATTTAAAAATAAAACTGGATGTTGTTTTTAGTCATAAGTTTATGTGGTTTCAAAATAATTAATTTGTGTTAAATCTGGATAAAACAAAAATGATAAAATTCACCCCAACAGCAGCTACGAGCTACCCACTACATACATTGTTTTTTAACAAAATGCTGAAAGACATAGAAACTATAAAATTTCATGGTTTGCAGCTGGACAATCATCTGACTTGTCAGGGACATGTCGATTTTTTGCTTCATAAGTTGAGCACAGTTGGTTTTCTAATGCAAAAATTATCTAGTATATTAACTATTAATAATCTTAAAGCTGTATATTGTGTACATATCGCACATGTAGCATGTCATTGAAAATTCTTCCATTTGCATTATACACAAGTCCTCTGTAAGTCCAGGCTTTGCAAAACAGCACATGCTACATCAACAATAAGCTTGACCACCGCCAAGTTAAGCCTCTTATATTTTCTGTCTGGTTTCACCTTGTCCTATGCTGTGACCAAGTTCATTCTCACGATTTTGTATGACTTTGCCATGTTACCTGAACAATTTTGTTATATACAATAATATAGCGCACCCATAAGGTTGAAAACTGTGTGCAAATCACAGAATGGTGTGCAGCTTGGAAAATTTCCAATAGCATGGGAAACCTTGTTTTGTAGGAGCTGTTAATGCAAGAGGTTGGTGCGAGCCGCTAATTCACAGCCGGGGCAAGCTGAAGTCTTTATTCATCCGATCAGTACTTTATGGAGGTTTAGTTTAATGCTGGTGATTAAACACTCGCTTTTGAATAGGAGGTCAATTCTATTAAATGTTCGGAAGGCCTTGGCTTCAATCATTTCTATGTGCAGTCTTCCTGTAAACCTCTTATCATAGATTACATGGATACATTTCACACGATTGGCGAAGGGGGGTGTTCTGTCCATTTGATGAAAGATAAGCCTCAGGGAACGTAAGTACATGAGAAAAGTAGATGGACTGAGCCTTATGATCATTGATTTTTATGTTCCAGCACTGACACCTTGTCTCAGTAGCACTGAAAACTCGCTGCATCTTTCTGAGAACATAACATTCCCTGCAGTCAGTCATATATATACTGGTGTCATTAGCAAAGAGACTTAGACAGACACCAGGTGTTCGAGGTATATCATTTATAAGTATGCTGTAAAATGTGGGGGGCAGGACAGAATCTTGTGGCACCCCTGCTTGTATATCCCTTGGCGCAGACATTTCACCTTCAAAATTATGAATATCCTCTGAGAAAGAAAAGAGCTAATAAGCTTGATTAGGCTGATCAAAAATTTTAATTCTGACAATTTACATAACAAGCCAAGGTGTCATGTTGTATCAAATGCTTTCTCAATATCGAAGAATACTGTGGCCATAGACGTGGTGTTGATGAAATTTAACCTTTAACGTCTGAAGTGCCCCGTTTTTGCCAGTAATGAGTATAGTCTTCGTGGCCAAAGTACCCTGTTTTGGCCAGTCGAGCATTTAAACTCCACTAGTGGAAGCGCGCGCACATGCCGCTAGTAGAATCACATTCAGTCCTAAATATTTATTTTTATATGTAGTAATTACTAGACAGACTTGAGTAAAACCCTAATAGAGGAATTAAAATACCTAAGTGAACAACAGAAAAAAAGAATATACGTATGAGTTATGCCCAAATTCATCCAAGAGCCAGTACTTTTATTGCAGATTCTGCAGATTAATGTGTTAAAAATATACAGTAAAATTCGATATACACATTTTTGTTGTTATCTGCTTGACGTATATACAGGTTGAAATGAAACTACAGTATTCAATGTCACTATGAACGCAGAGAAAACAGATCGAACTCTGTATCTAAGCCACAATACAACTGTCCGTTCACGACCATAGAAAGGGTAATAATCTCTTGCAGCTGTAATGGAAGGTCTTAGCACTGAAGAAGGGACCCCTCCAGCTCTTTTTCTTGAATAGCCATTCTTTCATTCTTCTGTCCTTCAGTTTCAAAAGGGGAGTTTAGTTTCAAAAATCTGAAGGGTGTAACAAGATTAAGTTTTCCCAGCAGAGAAACAAATGATTTTATTGCTTCCATCAGTTCTATGACACCAAGGTCTGCTAAAATTTTTCAAGTGTTACCAACAGAAATGAATTTGTAATGCAGAACAATTCTGTGAAGAACTGGTAAAATATTTTTGCAGTACGTATCAAAATTAAAAGAAAAAATTGAAAAAAAGAGTATAATTCTTTGTACAAACATTTTCAAATCTTCCGTTATAAAATGCGACACTATAATCTTTGCTGATACAAAGTTAATTCCATTCATTTATCATAAAAATTATGTTAGATACAGCATTTTTAAACACAAGGCTTAAAATAGTTTAAGCACCCTAACAGGAACAGACATTTAAACTCAGAGTAACAACAGGCATTTAAATGTGCACAAGCAGCGGGCATTTAAATAAACTCTGGCCAGCTCAAGCTTACTACCATTTCAAAAGTCCGGCGTTTAAAGGTTAATACTCTGCCATCAAATATATCAGTTTTAAAAAATTATAAAAACCAATTCAGGTAGGTTCTACAAAATTATTTGCAAAGTAACTCTTTTTATTCCATTGAAGAATTTATTGAACATACAAAAAACTCAAATGTTAAGAGTGAATAAATAGTCTGAGTGCTTATATTATACGCCGTTAGCCTTTGCTTTGTTATAAGTTATGTAGTTTGCATAATAACTATATTTGGTATGAATTTCAATATATGTTAAATTGAAACTATATTGGTAATATAGTTGGCCAACGTCTGTAGAATAACCAAATGTGCAATTACACAATATAGAATTATTATAGTTGGAAATACGAAAGATTTTATTCAGGGTCGAATGTGGCAATAATGTTTCCACAACTTATGTACAGGAGACGGACAAAAATATAGAAACACCCTGTGAAATGGATGCCTGAATTAAAGTGTTTATTTTAGTGACGTTTGTAGGTGACGCTGTCTTATCTGCCCAATACCACTGCCTGTAAAATCTCCGCAATATGCTGCAAGCTTAATTTGTTGTCGAGACAGTGTTCTGTGCAGTTTTTAGTGCATCATGTCAGAGCTAACAGAATTCGAACACGGGCAAATTGTTGGGGCCCGTATGGTGGCTGCTTCCATCACCAAGGTAGCCAAGGTTTTTGGTGTTTCATGAGGCACATTATCCAAGATTATGCCCTCATACAGGAGAACTGGAAAAACCGCATCTGATAAACATCAGCATGGACGGAAATGTGTCTTGAGTGATCGAGACAGATGAACATTGGGTAGGATTGTGACGAAAAATAAGAAGACTACAGCTGCAAAAGTGGCTGCTGAACTGAATGTCACACTCACAAACCCTGCCAGCACCAAAAGAGTATGAAGGGAACTCCACAAGCAGGGTATTTCTGGATGAGCTGTAATTTCAAAGTCACTCATCAGTGATCAAAATGCAACTAAGAAGAGAGTGTGGTGCCGACGTCATAAAATCTGGACTATTGAGCAATGGAAGATGGTCATTTGGTCAGATGAGTCCACCTTCACACTGTTTCCGACTTCTGGCCGAGTTTATCTCTGGAGAATGCCATCCCAAGCTTATGATCCAGATTGTTTGCTGCCAAGAGTGAAATATGGCTGGGGTTTGATCATGGTATGGGCAGACATATCGTGGTGTTCTGTCAGACCCATCATTACCCTGCAAGGTCACGTCACTGCCAACGACTATGTGACCATTTCGTGTGACCAGGTCCATCCCATGGTGCAAACTTTGTTCCCCAATGGTGATGCTATTTACCAAGATGACAGTGCCCCTGTTCACGCAGCTCACATCGTCCAGGACTGGTTTTCTGAGCACGAAGATGAAGTGTCACGTCTGCCATGGCCCCCACAATCGCCAGATATCAATATTATTGAGCCCTTGTGGTCTGTTTTGGAGAGCAATCTGTGTGCGTGTTATCCACCTCCATCATCGTTAACAGAACTTGCCAATGTTTTGCAGGAAGAATGATATAAGACTCCCTTGCAAATCACACAGGACCTCTATTTATCCATTCCAAGGAGACTGCACAAATTCACATGACCTGACCTGGGCTTGAACCCAGGCCGCCATAGTGGGAGCCGACAACTAACTGCCTGAGCTATGGCATGGCCTAAAATGTTGATAAATCTTGTGGTAAAATTCAACATACAAAGCCACTATAACATTACTGATACAGAATACAAATATTAAACAACATTCAGTGTATAAAATTCTGATTATGTATTGCATGTTATGCCTGATACAAACATTACAGACAAAAGAACCTGGATAGGTCTCTGGACGGGGAATGTAGTATGTTATCCCAGATATCTCAAAACCTGAGAAAATGCTATGTTTAATAACACACGCGGTAACGTAGTTGGTTGAGGCACTATGCTACAAGCCAGAAGATCGTGGGTTCAATTCCCCATGAGGTCATTGGATTTTTTCAACTGACCTAATCCTTCCAGCTGCACTATGGCCCCAGGGTCAACTCAGCCTCTAACATAAATGAGTACCAGGAATTAATTAATTTTCCTGGGGAGTAAAGCGCGATCGGTGCATAAGGCTGACAACCTTACCGCCATCTTTGAGCCGATTGTCTAGAAAATGTTGGACCCTCAACGTCTCACAACCCTATGGGCCTTCACAGCCTGTTACAGGGATAGCTTTACTTTTACTTTACTTTTTTAACAACACATCTAGGATGCATTGTGCAAAGGTTAAGAAATGCAGATCCTAACATATAAATCAGTTCCCATTAAGATGTGGTTAGACTCACAGTTCTTGAAAAGGCGCAAATATTTCTGAAACCCAATGCAATTGTGTCAAAGATAACTATAACCTATTCCAAATGAATATGTTTTTATTAAAAAATATCTGAGCCACAAGTTCACTGGCATCTGTGTTAAAACAACAGCTGAAGTAAACAAATCTATATAATATAGGGCGAAATTTGCTATTACACTTCATATGTCATTACATGCTTTGGTCAAAAGCTGCTCCAGTAATGAAGGCATTTTCAAGAAATTGGCAACTATATGCCGAAATGCGCTATCTGAAGACCTTCAGGAGCTCAGTGCCAGTATTAACAATATCATTATTCTTCACGTGTTACTGCAGATGCTATGCACGCTCCACTAGCTTCGACTTAGTCGTCAGATTTCGGCAGATTCCTTTTTTAAGGTCATGAAAAGGTAGGTGGAGGACTGTATCATATCTTCATGTGCTTCATTCACAAACTTCTAAGCAAAAGAATAACCACTGGAAATACTGGTAACCCAGAGGATTATTTCATTTTAAGTATAAAGAATGTAAATTATTGATCTTAAAAACACTCATTTGGGATTGCATTACCTGCGCAGCAGAACAAAGGCCCAAAACAGCTCCCATTTTATGCTTTCACCACAGACAAGGGCGCCAATCGTACTGAATGCTTTCCGTTTCTGCACTGCTAAACATATAACAAAATCTTTTCACTTCTACGAAGTTACTATCGTTACTATTAAACCAACTACCAAAATAAACACCACCACCCACGACACGAAAACACGTACTCGTTATGAGTTCCTCGATACGAATCGATAATATTTCGATGTCGGTGTTCTTGACCTTCTTGCCCGTTCTTGACGTTCTTGACGTTCTTGACTTCCTACTGCCTACATCCCGCCAAACTTGAAAAGGAATGAGTGAAAATTCACAACTATAAGTTTATTTCACAAATTTATTGCTGTTTCCTCAGCATCGCATAATTTCGTAGTGAATTGCATTAAAAACTGATTTTGAGTGAAGTGTTTCACAGTTATGCTTTTACCAAAATGTAGACTGTAAATAATGAAATTATTAGTTAAGTAATTTGTTTGCTGTCTTTTATTTGGGTGATACAAAAGCGAAGTGCATAGCAATTCAGACCAAATTTAATTACTAACAACAGAATCTGTACAGTGAGTGACCCTGAAATAATTTGTTCTATCTTCGGTTTTGAAGCTGAATTAACAGGGTTTAGCAAATAAGGAATATATTTTTAATAATTATAGCTAAAATGATGTCTGATACTAACAGTCTTTCTAGTAACTGTGGAACCATTATAAGTGGTTTACCAATGGCCTGATTTATACAGACTGTGACTACTGCTTCCACTTAAACTGTGTGAGCACCAGCCCCAGTGCACCAGACAGGAGTATGTCATGGTATTGTACCACATGTAAGTACCAGAAGCATGTGAAGCAGCAGGAGGGGAGGATCAGGAACCTGAAGAGGGAATTATAGGCAGTTAAAGAGGAAATCTGTAAGCTGAAAGCAGGAAATTTCAGTAATAACATCATGGAGCAGCATAATTCAAGAAATTNAATTAGAAAAAATAAAAAAATTCTAATTATGGGTCCCACAGATTCTGTGTATGAAGCTAGTTAAGTTCAACTGAACAACAAATTCAGTATACTAGCAACAGATGCAATGGAAGTTGGTCAGCAAACTCCAGTTCTGTTGAAGCATAAAGGCAGGAAATTAAAATCATTCACAGTGGAGACAGAAAAAAATAAAAATAAGAGAAGAATCTTATTGCTGGGAAGCAGTCATGGTAAGGAAATTGGCCCCAAGCTTCAAGAAAACCTGGGAACTAAATCTGACATATGTAGTATTTTCAAACCAAATGCTCCTCTTGCAAGAATTGTTTAGGATATAGGGAAGCTTGGTAAAGGCATTACCAAGCAAGATTATGCCATTATTTTTTTTTATAAATTTGCTTAGTGGGCAGTGGAATCCAACTGGGTCCCCTCGGCACAGCGGCCACTGATTGGCAGGGGAAACCGAAGTACTCAGAGAAAACCTGCCTCAGCACCACTTTGTCCACCACAAATCCCACTTTACATATATGTAAAGTACATATATAGCAGGAGCAGTACTTATTCACACATGAGAGCTTATTACATTTAGTACTGCAAAATCCTTACGATTGTTATATAAGTGGCTAAATGGCAGCGTTACTGTAGGCTTATATCAAAATCAGACAAAAACAACTTGGAATATAATAAAACATGAAAATTGAAAATTATGTCTGACTGAGCAGATAGCATCTCTTCTTATAAATGATGAAAAGGTAAAGACCTAGAGGTAATTGCTGATGCCATCAGTACTTTTTTTTCTGACAGTTACTGAAAATCTTGAATCAGGAAGTAAGAGGTGATGCCATTTCACTTTTAAAACAAGCATTTCCTAGAAAATTCTGTGGTATTAAGACACCCCGCAAAAACAGACAGTAACTGTCAAACAGTAATAAAAATCTGGTCATGAGCCCCAGATGGAGCTCAACACCAAGACTTACGGACTGACTGACCATCAGTCGCAATGTGATTTTGGCTTTGGCTGAGTCATAGGTGGCTGGAGTATAGCAGTAAGCTGGAGAAGTACAGAACGGTACAAGAAGTCAGCCTGTGAAGGCCTAACGTGTGATTTGAAGACTTCATGTGTACAGCAGTACAGGGATATTGGGAGTGTGATATTTAGTGAGACTTTTATATACCCTGTGTTACAAATCCATTGCTAGGAAACAGATAGTGAAGACTAATGGAAATAGACTAAGGAGACGAGTGTGGAGTGATTGTATTTTGTGTAAGTCAGAAATAATGTAATAATTAATTGTAGTTATGACCTATACGAGTACGTGGTTAATAAATCCAATTACCAATTCAAACTCTGTCTTTACAAGTATAGTCTCTGATACATGTGACAGTATATAGAAGAAGCAGTAAACACAAAATTCCTAGGTTTACAAATTGATAATCATTTAAACTGGAAAACCCATATCAATCAGTTGGTTCCAAAGCTAAGTGGAGCATGTTATGCAGTTAGATCTGTGCTGCATATCAGCAACACTGACACCCTCAGATCAACTTATTTGCTTACTTACACTCTTTAATGAAGTACGGAATAATTTTCTGGGTAATTCATCTGATAGCAAAATGGCAATTACAATAAGAAGAAGAAGAAAAAAATTTTAGACTCATAATAGGTTCAAAATCCCATAAATCTTGTAGAAACTTATTTAAAGAGGCTAGAGATCTTAACTCTTCCATGTGATGATATATTTTCATTAATAAACTTCATTACAAATAATAAAGAACATTTTCAGACCAATGCAGATGTACATAGTGTTAACACAAGAATCAAGCACTATCCCCATAAAACAACTGCTAACCTCCCATGCTTTCAAAAAAGCACATACTATGCTAAGATAAAAATTTTCAATAAAATGCCATCTGATCTCAAAAGTCTTATGAATGAAAAAGTATGATTTAAAATAACACTTAATAATGGTACTTAAGCACACACTCATTGTAATCTGTTGGTGAAAACTTTTTGCCTAAAAAGTGACTAATTCATTTAATGGTCGTGTAAACAGCGTAAGTTGATAGTACTGATATATATATATATATGTATATATATGTATGTATATATATATATATATATATATATGGATGTATTTTTTAATAGCCTCATGTGTAACCACTGTTTTCTTGTGTGAAAATTTCAATTGCACTGTACATGTTTTTGTATTTATATGACATATTCCGCATTCTACAGTCATTTTGACTAAGTCTGGATCTAGGGAATGCAATGCAATGTAATGTAATGTAATCTAATTATACTATGACATGAGGGCTCAAAGGCAGAACTGTGAAGCCAGCAGAGGCAGCCGTTGTTTGGGAATGATTCTGCAAACACATCCATTAAGTCACAGTTACCTACACAAACACCCATTTCAAGACAATGGCTCAGTAAATGTCATGTGACAGAGGCCACACTTATGTAAGCAACAATGAGAGAACTTCAGCTGTAAAGGCATGAGGAATAACCCTTGTTAGAAGACTATAACCAGGCAATGACTACTGGAGGCTGTTGAATAACTGTAGTGGCCCTTAAACTAAGGGCAAAAGATGTATGAACAGCTTGCCATATTTGTTGCAAAACTGAAAGCATGAATCTAAGAGATGCCATGTGTGTGGCATGCCTCCAGTGAAGGGAACACAAAACTGTTATTTTTCCCATGAATATTACAAACATTTCATGCGTTGTCTAAATTAAACCTGTGAATGTAATCTGCCTTACAAAGGAGGAACAACTCACATGGGCAGTGCAGCACCCCACTGCAACTGTGGTATGCAGTCCACCAGTCGAACCACCACACAATGTAGAACACACCAAACATATACCTGGCCAGACAAGAAACACATGACATATTGTATGATTATATAAGATACCCATACCCATATCCACACACTAACAACTCATACATCACAGAAACTTGTTTTGGGCTTCACAACCGGGCTCATTACGTAGAAAGCTTCTACAGCAAAGACCTACAAACAACAAACATGCCCAATTTTTCTACACTGTAGCAATGAAACCTTAAATATTTAAGTTGGCATACACATTCTTAACCTACCATTGGAAATCCTTTAATATCTTTTAAACATTTTTAATATTTTTTAATAATATATTCAACACATTGTAAATTTTTATATATGATATACCTTTATACTTATCTTTTATCTTATTTATGTATTTGCTACATCAACTCGAGGCAAAAGTTTTATGTTAGTATATAATACGATGTGTTACACCGATAAGGGTCCATATCGGTATTTCAATGACTATACAAATTCCTGTGTATGACTGCCTGATGATGGTCTTATATGACCGAAACATGTAGCAGCAATAAAGATCAAAATTAAAACTGAGCATCTGTTGTGTTGACAGTAGACATAATTCCTATAATATATATATCTAACATACAACAGGATGCAACCAATGAAGATAGTGGTATGCAAAGCTTGCTGCAGCCTTTGGTGCTGGCACAATCCTCTCATATCCCATATGATTTATTTGCTTGAGTGAAGGGCTCAATTTGGAGCAGCACTTCGAATCTGTATATGGCACAAGTAGGCTGTCAGCACCATCACAGTACTATCACTGTTTATCTCACCAAAGGATTAAGTATGTCATTACCTATTATTTTTTACTGATTTGCTGTTTATATTGCCAATACTGATACAATACAAACAACTTCTGAAATGTAAGATTTGAGGCTTTCACAGCNTTGTGAATAATCTACATAAATCTCACAGAACACAACATTTTAAAATAGTGTGAACCTCACGTCTAAGCACCAGTTTATGCAGTAACTCCTAACATAATCTTGCTGATGTGATGGATATTAATCTGAGCTCTCTATTCCTCTGGAGCATCAACTTGTATTACCATAACCCATCCTCTAATAATTTTAAGAAGTCCTTTTACCTCCAGAAGTGAGCTAGGATACCTCAGTCAATACTGTGACTAAGCTATTGGCAGGATGACTGGAGAAACCAGGCTTGATGCCATGCATTATCAGGAATTCTTCTTTTCTCTGACACATTCAGCCTGGAACTATGACCCACCCAGCCTATTCAGTGAGTTCTTTGTCTAGGTGAAAAGTGGCTAGGGCATGAAGATTATCCATCCATTTCCATCCAGCAGAGATCAATAATGTATGGTCCTATACCTCAATTCTCCCATACATCTTCACAGCATTATGCTTAACTTCTACCATTCAGATTTAAATTTCCTGCTACTACAGTTGAGTCACATCATACATGCATTTCAAGGTAAAAAAGTAAGACCATGGAGGCCCATAGGGTTGTGAGATGTTCGAGGTTCCCACATTTTCTATACAATGGATGGCAGTAATGGGGGTATGTTATAAAAATGGCGCTATGTCTGCTGAATTATTGAATGTGCTGTTATGCAACACATCAATGACATAAGTTAATTAAGCAGAGGGGCATTATCTTTACCTTAGAAACATCTTTTGCAGTTTATTTTCCTAATGGAATCTGCCACATTTGCACATGATTCTTCCATAAATGCATTAATTTTTAAATTTTTGGTTAATTTTAGGGGTGTTTACATAAAGTTTCTGGCACTTGGGAGTTTCTTTTAAAATTTCTTTACTGGCTAAATGTGCCACTCTGTAACTCCTCCAGTCTACTAAATCTTTCCTTTTCACTAACTACTCTACTGAATATACTTTCCTGCTTACCTTATGGGTAGATTTAAACACAAGAGCTTACGTAAGTACTGAGAATGTCACCTGTAATGCTTTGTAAAATGACGTTACAGTCAAAGTTGGTGTATCTGTGGCAGAACTTTGCCACCTTTTGCTGCCTGCAATGTGGGAAAGTCTGTTGAGATTTACACTGATGTATTCATCTCTGATATTAATGTATGACCTCTGTACATTTTACTTATTTTGCTAATTATAAATTTATTCAGCATCCAGTCACTGCACTCTTATGACTTACCTTATTGGATTCAAAGCCCTCTCTCATGGCTAGGGTGGCTTGAGATGTTTTGAGGTACATACTATCAAATTAATTTACATCCCATATTGCAGCAATCTTGGAAAATGCTACATTTTAAAACATCTGCTCAATTTTATAGACACTTAAATTCAAAACTTTTGAGATTAGTCAAAGATATACACAAGGTTACTTCCTTTGCTTGTGAAATGAAAACTGACTATAAGATTTGGTAACCATTCTGAAGAGCACACTGGTTGGCCTCCAATTTCATGCAGAATCTTCTAACTTTCTCTCTTCTATACACTGTGAGAAGTATATACTTTGTACAGACAATGGTACAGTTTGAATTTTACATGGAAATCAAGAATTCCAGTTCAAGTTGAAACAGTATTAACACATAACAGCAACCCTTGTATTACTGGTGCCAGTAGATATTTCTACTATTCCAAAAAGTGTTAATAAAATAACATTATTGTGCTGTAAACTTTGATTTCATACTACCGCTTTTGACAGAGCACGCATGGGAAGATGACAAGCTCATGTAAAATTTTAGTCAGAAAACATGAAAGCAAGAGTACATAATATTTGTACTAATGTACCATCATCACAAACTTTTAGATCTTAAGCAAGAGATAACTCAAGAGATCTGGAAATAAATGGAAGAACAACATTGAAATGAATATTAAAGAGAAATGATATGAGGGCATGGACTAGACTCACAAGGCTCAGGACAGAATCCACTGGCATTCAGCAAGAAGTTACACTTGGGAACAGTGTAATGAACCTTTGGGTTAAAAATATGGCAGGGAATTTCCTGATCAGCTAAGTGATTATGAGCTTCTCAAGGATCCTGCTCCATGGTGTTAATTGTGCTGTTGCCTTCAATTTTATATGGCTGCCTTATGGATAAGCATTAATGAACCCACCATGGTATTGTTGGTTTTTGTTATACAAAACAATTTGTCAGTTACACTTGTATTAAATGCAAAATTACATTAAGATTACGAATGACAAGGCTGAAAAGGATGTTGAAAGAAGCAGGCAGAACACATTCTAAGGCACTATCCTACTGTTTACCTGGAGGAAATTTGAAAAAACATCAAATCCCAAGTTAGTATAGACATCTGTCATATAACTGAAGTGGGAAATCTTCCAGAGAGAAAACAAAGGTGCAAAAATCACACCATCACCAGACAGTACAATCTGCTACCTGAATATTTCATGTTCTTCAAGAAGACAGATGGCATCTGTGCCAGCAATTCAGATTAACACAGACACATGTATTTAAGTTTGTGGATTTATTATGTACAATTTAGACAACAGATTCATGGTTCTCACAGTGGTTGGTATGGAGAGTTTTATCTTCTGCAAATACAACACTATGTAGTCTGTTGAAGGTCAACTGATGTTTTGGAGGAACATGCCAAGCTCTGCTTGCTACCCACTTCATGCTAGTTTCTTCCTCGGCTTATTCTTCAATCCTGAAGAAGTTTGGTGACATATTCTTCTGAAATGTTGGCTGACTTTCAACAGACTACAAGGCATTATATCCCAGAAAACAGAACTCTGCTTAATTAACAGAAAACCGAAAAAACATATTTTCTGTATGTATGTTTCATTATGCTTAACTTACAATGTAAATTCCTTCACTTCTTTAACAAACTATATAAATATTGTGTGTGTACACTGTGATTTATTAACCTTCCTCATTACATTTCCACAAAAATTTGTATTGTCATGAGTGGAGGGAAATGAAAAAAAAAAAGGACAATTTCATAACTGATCTTATAATGGACCAGCAATATAAATCTTGGGGAACTGTCCAATCTAGGGTGATTACTGAAAGAGAAACATTTTATATTACAATGAAAGTAGCACATTCCCATTACTGGCTCCTGAATGAATATGGATATTTTTAGAGAACATTGCCACTGGCAATTATTCCAATGAAATATGCTTATAAAATCCATAACTTCAACTATTCCAACATTTAAAGTTCATATAAATTTAAAAATTACAAAATTCTCTTTTGGTGATTTTCTTTACAACTGAAAGTAAAAGCATGGTGACTACATGATACTTCTATGAAAACAACCAAAAACAAAATTTGACATAAAATTTGGCACAGTGAGAGATAAAACATCCCCAGATTATGAATGGTCGGTCCGAAAGTCTAATAAGAGTGATGGCATAAATTCTCAGTACATTTTCAAAACAAAAGCAAATTACATCATTACACCAGATCCATTTGACCAAACTCCCTCTGCTTCTATCAGCTATTGTAGTGATGAGTTTCAATTATTTAAAAGAAACAATGGACTTCACAGTTTCCATTGTAAAATAGTATTTATATTTCTGTGTCACATACATATTATAATGACCATAAAATGACAAATAAACATTAATTAAAAACCTCTACATAACAAAGTCTAAAGATCTGGGTCCAATGTATTTTCAATTTTGTTATGTAGAGGTTCTACTGCATTCACAGATGGAGTCGTAACTAATATTGGTATACAATGGTACCATCCAGTCTATCACATTTTGCCTGGTGTATTTCCAGTGTCACATCTGGCAAGAACACAACCTATTCTGACATGAAAATTACATGCTTACAAGACATATTTTTTAAAATGAAGACTGCTGTATATCTTCATTAACCAACAAAATGTATAAGAAAGGGATTTAACTCCCTTACTAATAAAAATTCATATGCTTTTCTGCCTGATGACAAGCATAAGCAAAAATTGTTTATTAGTAATTCATAAACTCTTCAGTCAACTTTCAAGTGCTCACAAACATAAAAAAAACATAAACTCAAGTGCTAAAAACACCAAAAGTATATAATAAATTTTATTACATATGTAAGTTGTATTATGCATATAATGTCTTTCTTACACCCATACAACATATTAAAGAGTGCTGACAAAGATAAAGATGATCGTGGATATATAAAAATATATGTTTTTGTGTAATGTCATTTAAGAGCAAAATAGAAAGGAAGAGTACAATGCAGAACAGAAATGAGCTTTAAATACTGGAACTGCATACCTTGAAGTGTAATTCCAATATTTATGTACTCATGCTTAGCTTCTTTACATACATAAGTACCTAAAGCAAAAAATGTGAAAGGTAATTTATTTTTGCAGATAACATATCTATCACAGATTCATTTACATATGACACACATTTTATACAGCAACTGTATACTATGGTAGACACACCGCCAACTATGATGACAAAATTAAATACAAATTTTAATTAACTTGTAAAACCAAGAATTGCAACATAACGGTAAAATTGTGCATGAATGTGGGAACAAAAATAAAATAAAAATCATAAAGTGTGATTTTTGAGCATGAAAATAATAAAGTAAATTTAAAAGCTAATAATGATGCAAAATTCAAAATAAAATAATGTCTTTGGGTTTCCAAAAAATACACCCAAAACTTCTATCATGAATTACCTGTCATCAGTTATACATAAATAAAATAACTTCTGTATCATAATTTCTTCAATACAAAGTCCTACAGCAGTACTGCAACAACTTATTCTTAACAAATTATATATATGACAAAACTGTTCAATCAACATTTTCATTTTCAATTTTGCTATTGCAGTACTATGCAATTGGCAACATAAATAATCAACTGTTTAACAAGTAGGATCCCCTGTTGGCATGTGTTCACTGCACCTGCAATTTTATTATCACTTGTAGTTTGTGGTGTAGGTTCTGGTACTAAGCTTGAAGGTCAATTTACACCACTGAGAACCTCATGTAGTGCTTGCTGTTGCTCTGTTGTCAGCTGTGTGACACATGCTTGAAACACTTCATTGTTTCCCTGTGTGAAAAAAGAATAAAAATATACTTGAAAACTGGAATTCTTACCAGCAAATTATCATATTACTTCAAATATAAGACACCCTCTAATTTAAGATGCAACCAGTTTTTCAATATGAGTTTTAGGAACAAAATTAGAAAGGTGCACATTCCTCAAATTTAAGACACCTCAATTTTTCAATGGAAAAAAATGTGTGTCTTATATTCAAAGTAATACGGTATAATTATTATGGAACAACTAAAGTCAGATTTCTAGGAAACACAAATGTACATCAAACTTATGTATTATGGGCAGCCAACTCATACTTCCCAAGCCTCAAGCCATATGCTGCTTTAACTGCTGTACTTGACCTAAGAATTAAGCAGCCGTTCATTCATCCGTGCCATTTCTTATTCTCAAATGCAACAGTAGAATGATTTTTATGAGCAATACCTACATCAAAAGTGGTTCTGCACAAGACATAAGAATGAGATCTGATGTGCTAATGGCAGTGACTATGAAGATTACTGTCTTCTCGGATGTAACAATATGTAATCTGATAAATCAATGATAAAGTTTGGAGGAAACATGCTGTCTCCATGTGCAAATTGATTTGTCACTAGTTTAGTCAATTTAAGACATGTTAAAGCAAAAATCACTAAGGCAGCAGACTTCAAATGATGATGCTGAACATGTAAGCGTATCATGTGTACAGGGTCCAAAGAAATCTATTCTTCACTGCAATCTGCAACTTGATATAACCAAAAGCACAACCCAAAATGTACTGCACAAGTAGCTGAGACTGCATGCTTGTAAAATTCAAGTGAGACATGAAATCGCAGACACTTATTTCTCGAGAAGAGAGAAGTATGCAAATTTGTGTCTAATAGAAATGAATACTTTTCACATGTGAAGCTTTATTTCATATTAACAGCCATTTTAATAATCACAACCATTATATCTGGAGAGCAGAAGAGAGAGATCTCTCAACCACAAGCAAGCTGGAACATTCCATACATTAAGAAAATAATGCAACATCATATTCATACCAATGCAACAACCAAAGAATGACTACTCCACACAAGAATCCACATGCCCCAGGAAGCACTAGAATACACGATCAATATACCAAAGGAATAATATACTTATCTATATCATCTTAAATTTGATTTTAAAAATTTACAATAATAGTTTTAATCAATTAATTTCAATTTTAACTTTGCGGATCTTGTAACAAGTTCAGTATCAAAACAAAGAACAACCCTAAAATATAGAGCCATATTAAGTATAAGTTTGGCACTTAAGGCTTCACACCTCAAAATTGAACATGTGGATTTCTGTATGGATGTGTGGCAGGACATTTCTTTTTTGCTTAAAACACCATTAACGATGACATTTATCTTGACATGTTCAAACTGTCTGCTTTTCCATAAGCTGAAGATGCTAAAAATGAAAAAGAAACTGCAATTATTTTCCAATTGGATGGGGTCCCACAGCATTTCACTGACAAGGCCTGACATGCTCTAAACACTAGATATCACAACTGATGGACTGAAGAAAGATGACCAACAACCTGTCATCAAAGATGTTCACATCTTCCACCAGTGGATTTTCTTATCTGGGGATAAGAAAAGAAAATACTGCCTATGCACAAGTTCATGATTTATGTCACCCATGTGACAAAATTTATGCTACCATAACAATCACTTTCAACAACTGCTTGGAGGTATGCAAGGATTGGAACAGTTTTCATGTCAAGATTTATGTTAAGCTGTAAAATATGCAACTACTTTTATAGTATATAACTAATGCTTGTGAAGGATGTTTCAGTTGTTACTGTACCTGGATCTGTCTCACTAGGCCTATCATTCTCTTTGTAACTTCATGTTCCAAATCGATAGCATCTCTTGCAAATGCTTCTGCAATTATGGCTATTAATTTGGGTAAGTTAACATGATTTGGACCTAGGATTAGTGGATGATTTGTCTCAATCAAATCACACAGGTAGCCATATACATGTGGAGATTCATCATCATCTTCCCATACTGGTAACCATGACAACCTAGAGACAAGGTACAATGTACAGAAGTTTAGACATAACTCAACTCTGTGGAGGAAATGGCTTCCTGAGAAGTCAGTTAAATACTACTCTTGCCTCTTATTGAATCTGAAGATTCATTTCCACATTCACAATAGCCAAATGAATCCAGTTCATACCTTCAAGATACATTCTAATACTACCCTCACTTCTACACTTAGGTAACCCAAATGGCACTTAGATCTAGAACTACTATTCCTGTCAACTTCCCACCTCTCTTCTGGTAATGTTTCAAAGCATTCCAATGTATTGATATCAGTTACTGCACAATTACTACATAATAACTGTTAAATGATAAGAAGAACAGGCTTTCTACCTTCTCCCCATTACGTCTATATAACATGAACATTAGAGACAACCGTTTTTAACTCTCACTGAAGATTTACTCCTACAGTCTATTTCAATCATTCTCACCTTACACTGATGGGATACACAGAAATGCACGTGTAAGTTGTCACATTACACCATGACTGAATCTTTAATTACTCACTGTCATAAATTGGGTTTACTCACCAGTGTGGTAATATGTCATTAACATTGATTGCAGAACTGTTATATTTGAGTATTTTAGTAATGGCTGAGATAGCATTCTCAGTTGGATTGATTTTCTCAGGAGAACGAGACTCTGGGTCTGTTATTACTTCCACCAGACGTGGTATGGCCTCTCCGCAAGCACCTTGAAAAGAGAGAACCACTGGTATGTCACAGTTGTAATGCATTTAATTCTTGATGTTTCTCTGAGTACCATACACACACATCTTTTCCAAACATTCTGTTCAAACACATGCTGTCATACACAAGGACTGACTTCCAGGTATATAAATTCTAAACCCAACAGCATAGTTCCCTTTGTCTTATAAATCAAGCCACGAAATGCAATGTTTCATCAATGTAATAATATCTTTTTGCTCTTTCAGCAACCTGCACCCAAAGTAAGAAAGTGATTTTGAGGGCTGAATACAGCATGGAAGCTTACATCTAGATTTTTGGATTCTCTGCTGTTTTTAATTATCCATGCCATCAAGAATTCACCTCAATAAATATTTCAAACGGATGAACAGAAACACGGTTCCCTTCACAAATAATTACAATCACTTAAATAGCATAAAAATAATAAACACGTCCATAAATGTAAAACATATGGGAGGTAAGGTTGTCCTTGTGCTTAATTAATTAAGCACCATGTAATGAAGATGCGAGTGGATATACGAGTAGAGCTCCATCATTCTTGACTTCACTATATAGAGGTGAGTGCTCAGCTTCATGCCCTGGCTGCATTACCCTTGGAGATATAGCAACCAGTACATATAGTATAGGAGGCTGTGTGGGCCCCGAAGCTAGTCTGGACATTGTGAACAGAAAAATCTGTCCTTGCCAGGAATCGAACCCTGAATTTCCAGCTCACAGTCCACTGACATACCAGCTCCCCATATAACAAATATATAACGGGCAAAATGTTCAGTTTTCTTCCTGCATTCTGTACATAACAAATGTTTATCATAGCATCTTTATGGTTTATTTCTAAACAAGCTTTAGAAGACCAGACTAGACCAGGCACTATACCAACCAGAAAATGCTTCACCACCGAACTGTCCGAGAACACCCCAACCATACACAGCTGCTTGTCTCACTTCTGCTGCCTTGTCGGTCACATAGTTCAACATGGGTCGCAGAAAATACTCCTGGTACTTGACACAGGCTGGCCCACCATATTCTATTGTGTCATCGAAGATACAGAGAGCCCACTGACGGTCTGGCCATGGCATTTCTGGTGCCTAAAATGTTATCAAACTGTTTTCAAATAAGAATTCTAAAAGAAAGGTTAAATGGGAATAATACCTTTTCACTTACATAATTATCACCTACAATGAAATATCAGCAGAACTTCTTTAGGAGGCCAAGCATTAATATTAAATTTCTCTTGTCAAACCACCAGAAATGACAGCTGTACCACTCCAAAGTTTGAAAATTCAAAGGAAAGAACTATCTGCAATATTGACATGCAGTTTCAGAGGCCACAAGCACAGTTCATAATCTCCTGCCATAATAAGACTCTCCTTTCCTGAAATGATTACAGTACTAATACCACACAACAAACTGTATAGGTATCTTTATTCATAAATCACATATTAGGTTTTGGTGAGATCAATGCTATTATCAAGGTAAAGACGCAACACACTGACTTGTCTGTTGTTTAAAAATTGATATGTGTGAGTGCAGATACCCATCATAAGATCACACAGTTTAGTGCTGCTCTTATTGTGGTCAGAGCAAGATGGATAATGAACAAAAATGATGTCATAAAGGTATCAAAATCTTCTTGTATATCAGGAATGAAACAAAACCTTGCCATTACTGAGTGAACAGCACCCACAGAGGTAATCAAGATCTTATTGATGAAGAAATCTGTCTGCCCATCATACACTGTATCTTAGTTAATAATGATGGCAGATAAGAGTAAACACAAAAGTTGTTCATCAGGAGGGAGAACTTGGAAAAATTCTTAATTTTGCTGTTAGATGCATAGGTCCAGGTCCAGGTCCAAGTAAATTTCTTTCCTCATTCTTTCCTCCTAAGAAAACCACTGGGGCCATGATCAAAGAGTATAATTCTATAATTACCATGCTAACAAAACATCTTATGAAGTTCACAAAAACCATCTGTGTCAGTCCAAGAACTTAGAGAGATGTGAAATGTAAGCAGCCACCATAAACACATAAAATTGTTCTTCAAATTACAACAGAGACTTTTCTGCAGACACATTTGTTCAAAATCACTCAGAACAGAACCGATATAATAAATGAATAAAAGGCAATAAGATCCTCTGAAATCCTTTGTTGTTTGTGTAGTTTTGTGTGCTGTATTTTGAGTGTGGTGTGTTATTTTGTGTGATATATGTATTTGTGTGTTGTGTTTTATTGTAGTACCACTGCCACCAGGCAAAAACCAATTTGCAGTTTAAATACATAAATAAATAATAACAATAATAATAATAATAATAATTTTGTAAGCAAGAGGGCTGTTGGCAAAAAAAAGTCTGGGACACACGTTATATTCGAGAATTTAGCATATATATTTACATAACATACCAATTTGTTCAAGAGGAATGACTGCACAAATAAGGCTTAATATTGCTACTGCAAATATCTTTGCTGATATTATCCAACTCACCAAGCATTTGACAAAATGGCCAACTATCTGGTCGAAGTATGGATAAAAGTTAAGTTTGTATGTCAAGAAGAGTGAATGAATAATGTCTGCAACTTTGCTGAAGATATAAACATCTTCACTGTCTTCATCCTCAAGTTGCTCCTCTACAACCTGTTAACAAAATACAGCAAGTTCCTTTACATAGGTAGTCAGCAGCGTATCTCGAGCATTCCCAATCCAACAGACTGGTTACCTATCATCACCATGTGTTCTACCCGCAATAAAGCCACAGCCTGTTGCAGGTATTACTTGAATGGTCATGAAAAAACAGGTATGATGCTTGAGCACTATCCTAAGGTCATACTGATTTGACTGTGCTTCTAGGGAATTGCTGCAACACACTAAGGCCACCCCTGATTTTTGTAATTCACAATACAAAATTCTACCATTCAATGCTACACAATTTCTGCAGCTAATTTGAGCATTCACAGAAGGCTATAAACAAATCAAAACATAAATTGATGAAACTTTTGCCATTCATTCCCAGTAACACACCACCGTCCAGGTGTTCCACTCTCACCTACCTTCGGGCAGCATTCACTGTCCCTTTCTCAGTAGTGGTAACTGTCACTTCTGCTTATGAGAAGCATGCAGTAGCATAGTTGGTTGAGGCACTAAGCTACAAGCTGGAAGGTCATGGGTTCGATTTCCGATGAGGTCACTGAATTTTTTGATTCACCTAATCCTTCCGGCTGCACTATGGTCCTGAGGTCAACTCAGAAATAAGTATAAGGAATATTCCTGGGGGTAAAGGGCGGCTGACAACCTTACAGCCATCTGCAAGCTGACTGTCTAAAATATGTGGGAGCCTCGACATCTCACAACTCTATGGACCTCCAAGGCTTTTACAGGGATAGCGTTACCTTTACCACTCCTGCTTCCAGAGATCTTGCCAGCCAAACTTAAGAGCACAGACCACAAAAAAACTCTGCAATCCTGTCATTGGCCAATTTAAAACATTTCCCCCCCCCCCATTTTCTTACTTTAAGCATAGCTACTGTTGGGCAGCTGAGGCATGCTTTTGCCTATGTCTCTTGCGTGCCTCTACTACCCAGATGTCATCTCCCTGGGCTGTTGATTCCATTGAGGTTTTGTTCACTGCACTACTTTGTCCTGCTTGTGCAGTCAAAGTAAGGATAGCCTTCAGTTTATTCAGTGTTACTGTGTACATGCCACTAAACAGCAGATTCCCATCTTGGTGCACACTCAAGTTCACCGCTTGTTTTGTAGTTTCACACAGCACCGCTCACAACCACGGCTGGGTGGCAAACTTCACCGATACCACCTTCACAAAACAAGAGCTGGCTGTGAAGTGAAGTCTGTATAAACTACTCTGTTGAACACACATTTCACTGGAATCACTAAATCCAACCAACGCCTGGTGTACTGACCTACTGACCATTAACTTATAACACTTTCATTAATCCACACACTCTACAAATGAATACAAGTGCTAAATTTTTACTAGTCATTGCTAGGTAACAGCTCTACTCCAACTTGACTCCCTTAACTCACTCAACTCACTCTAGTAACTAACTTGATCCATAGGTTCTCATAATATAGCCTCACATAAGAATGCATATAAAAACACCACTTCCAAGAATTCTTTCATCACTGAGTGACGTGTTGCATAGTAATGGTGCTGTACTGTTGATGCTGGAGCATGTTTTGGTTGCCCTGGAAATGTGTTTACATACCACTGCCTAGAAATGGACACCTTTTCTGGGTCTGCTATTCTGGCTTTCAGTCATTATGTCACAATATTATAATTCATTCAGTTTCATAAAATAAAATGACATGATTTGTCAGCAAAAATTCATAACATATTCCAGTTTCTCAGTAAGAAACTAAAAACACAGACTGATGCCAAGAGCAGACAGTTGCTAGGCAGATAGGTGGGGGAGAATCTGTATTAATTATTCCTGGTTAAAAAACTTAGCAGCATAATTTTAATTTTCTACTTCTGAGGCACCACCCTTCTGTGATATTTTGCACACATATTTCAGAGATCCTAAGGCCATAATGCTTACTTCATCATAATCCTCATCCTTTCGCTTCTCTTGACGTGCCACTGCTTTACTGAAATGATCTTTCATAATCTTGTCCAAGATACGTATCAGTTCTGCCATTGCTTCTTCTGTCAGGCACCCATTTCCCAGTGTCTCAATGCACTGGAATAAAAATGAACAAGAGTAATGAGCTGATTTCAATAACTTGAATACCAATTCACAGCATACACAAAGTTAATCTGCAGCATAATAAGTATGGCTTATAACAAGGGCTTCATTATAACAATAAAAAAAAGTGTACACACATAACATTACAGTGCCCAGGTCTAAAAAACATGGATACACCTTCCACAAGCCTTTATGGAGTGCTGTTTTAGACAGTTAAGGACAGGGACTTTAACTTTTATGGACCAGCGTGAGGTAACATAAATTGAAAGTTTGGCTTATACAGGTGGATCAGTGAAGTGGACTGAAATAGACTGACCAAAATCCTGGAGCAATCATTGAAAAGCTCACAGTAACTCAGTTGGTCAACAAAGATCTGCAACTTTCATAAATCGAAAGGTTCACTACTGTTTGCACACTGTCCTCAGGCACAAGAATCCAGTTCACACTCTCAGCTTCTAATCCTATATGACCATCTATTTCTGTACTATCTTTTCACCTTTCACTTGAGGTCCAAAATATTGTTAATCTTTTTTAAATATAAAATAAGCATAGTTACTTTGGCTAAGGCGTGCATGTGTTCAGCCAGTACTTCATTCTCGGGTTCTGTATTGATGGCTTTGAGTAGTTCAGGGCAGATGAAGCTCCACATCCCTTGCAGATACTGTGGGCCTACACAAACACCAATGGAAATTTATATAAAATGGGATCAAATGAAAAACAGATTTGGATCAATTAGGAATCAAATGCAAAGATATTAAGTCTTCCTGATGGGCTTAAAATTAGGGAAAACTGAAAAAGTGAAAAATGTGATATACAACAGAAATTCTTTCAGTCAGTGCCTATTAACAGGGCTGACAGAAACTTAATAGCAAAACATACATCTTCTTCTTGTCTTGACAGATCAGCCCTTCTGGCCTGTTCCCATCAGAATTAAATAAAATATATTTTGAGGAACGCAGTCTCCTGGGATGTGGCACCATATAGATGTGGTGTTAACAGACGTTTCGGAGGAACGTATCATCTCCAGTCTGCGTGTACCGGTTCTCACGGTCTCTTCGCTTGCAGATTTTATTTTTCCTTCTACCCTGAAGATGGTGGCGATGTTCCTCCGAAACGTCGGTTAACACCACATCTACATGGTGCCACATCCCAGGAGACTGCTTTCTTCATAGTCACCACGGTGAAAACCTCAAATCTACAAAATATATTTTTTCTTTCTACAATTTATCTCCTCTTATTTAAAATACCCACTCTTTCCTTTAACATACAGGTATATCTTGTGCACTGTTTCAGTCCTCAGGGATCTCGTCAAAAAATGAGTATGTGCTCTATCTATGGATTTTCTGCTGAACTGCTTGGTAGAACTCTTCAACATATCAAATTCTTCTTACATGAACAGGGAATTTTACACATGTTCTACCAATTGCACTGGTTTTTCGACAATTAAAAAACATAAGTACAACATAAAACAACTATCTTTTTATAGTTTTAGCATTCATTTACTGAATTATCTAGAATCTCTGCAGTGAACAACCAAACTGTTAATACACTTATTGCACCCTTGGTCACGCCACAGCTCAAGCGGCAAGTCGCTGGCTTCCCACTATGGTGGCCTGGGTTCTATCCTGGGTCTGGTCAAGTGGGATTTCTGGTGGACAAAGTGGCGCTGGGGCAGGTTTTCTCTGAGTACTTTGGTTTCCCCTGACAATCTTCATTCTACCAATTGCTCCCCGATCACCCTCACATATAATCTGGGGCTGGTACAATAGGCCAGAAGTGGCCGCAGTACAAGGGATGTAGTCCCACCCCGCTAGCAATAAAAATATTCCACCTTAGTTTCCAATTATTCCAAAGAATTAAAAAAAACTGTAACGGTCTGTTTAGTACATCTGCTCTAATATTACAATGAATCACAAAATGACAGCCTTTCAATGTTTTCTCAAGGAAGGAGGTAAACCTGCTGATGTCCGGTGAACCTGTCATTTCTGAAACCTCTGGTTGCTTGGTAGAGAATCCAAGAGCACAGTCAGGTGCACGATCACAACTATGGGGCTGCTGCATTCTTGAAGTTCTAGTCATACAGTGTACCATAAACCACTTCCTAGCCTATGCTCACAGCAGCAGATATATGTATCATATTGATTCAAGCCATCTTTCATTAAGCCTACCAAGTTTGTGATTTCCTTTATTTCAGTTAAGATACAAACTGTCAACCAATGCAACACCATTTCCAAATGATTCAAATCTATGCTAAACCATCTGATGTAGTTCAAACACTGCATTTCAAGAAAAAAAACCCTTCTGAATGCTTTTCTCATAAGCACAGAAGCCCCTAAGCTTATTTTTTGAATACAAAATTTTACCGTATATCTTCTATCTATCAGACAAATCAATCACAGGTATATCAAGTTTGCAACAAACAAATTATTTTGCCAGGAACGATAAATGAGTGAAGTAAAAAGGGGGGGGGGGAAAGCTGCAACTGAAACCAAAAGAAGCAAGAAAACAAATCATCTCATTCCACATAAAACAAATGTTTTCTTTCATCTCAGTCTTTCTGGCAAACCTAATAGAACATTATATGATCTACAGAGCGAATGTGCGTTACACATCCAGAATATTTTACAAATTGTAGGAGGACAACTTCCAGCCAAACTGTGGACGACAAATTAATTTCTGTTACTTTCCAATCACCCTACATATCTTCCTTCCAATTCAGAATAGAACTATAGTGAACATTTTTATATACTGAAATTTAGTTAGTAATACTATCACTGCACCCACATGAATTTGTGCTTTCATTGAGGAGAACCAAATTGCACTTCTGTGTCCCAAATCTATAATTCTACTATAGATGTTACATATTTGAACCAACAAGAATTCAGAGGTAAATTGAATGCAATCATAAGTGAAATGCACTGAGAAGAAAGAAATATGTATGCATGTTACTATGTGGTACACAGATACACATTAATCAGCTGAAGATAATCCAGCAGCAGTACCTTACCCAACAAGACATTTCAAAAGACAAATCACCTTGTAGAAGGGCCACCTGTCCTTCAATCATTAAATCCCACTTGAGCTGTCACAATTCAGAAAAGAATCATTGAAATTGTGTACATTCAGTTCTCATTACCTGCAGCTCTTTGCAGTGTAAACCACAAAGCAGACTGTTTAGAATCACCCACATTCCTCATTTGAATGACACCCAAAACAACAGCAATTGTTCTGAAGATTTCTAAATCCTTGTTCCACAAAGATCATAAGCTATGGTACAATAATTGTTATAATTACCCGGATTCGGTAAAGCTTCTGAAGTCATGTAATGACAGTGTAGGGACCATGAAAATGAACAGGAAAAATGTGTCCAAGATAGAAGTAAAAAACTGTAAGCTGTTAAGTTTACTGTGCAGCACAATGGTCCTGTTTGCATCTTCAGGTGATGTAACAAGATGATGACATATCAGAGTTAATTTACAGATGATGCCTTCTTTTTGTTCTGCTTATAGGAGACTCTGGTCTATTACATTGCAAAAGAAAGTTATTAGAATTATAACAAATTCTAGACCAAGAGAGTCTTGTAGGGACATTTTTAAGAATTTGGAATTAATGATGTTCTACTTTCAGTACACATATTCATTACTTTTATACACAATTAATAATAAACATTTATTTAATTTTAACAATGAGATTCACAAATACAAAACTAGAGCCCTCAATAATTTATATTTACCTGCACTCAACCTAACAAAATACAATAAAGGTGCATACATATCAGTTATTAAAGTTTTTATTAATCTTCCTCAAACAATAAAAATGTTGGCTACTGATGTGAGAAGTTTTAAATCTGCATTGAAGAGGTTTTTATATCAACATTCTTTTTATTCCATGAATGAATATTACCAACACAATTGGTCATAAGTGTGTAAATTTGTAATGTATTTAATTAAGTCAATATAGGTAATTTAAATAATATTGCATTAATTCAAGTTTCATAGTAAGTTATCTTTAAATTATCTTATTTTTTTACTTTATATTATTATTTATGTTAATCGATTCATGTAGGTGATTTTGATAATGTGACTCGTGTGTAATTTTGTATGTGTATCTTGATATATCTATTTTCAAAGGGACCATTTCCACATCCTAGGTTTCTTACCTGTATGGATATATGGAAAATAAAGGAAATAAATGAATTTACCATATCTGCAATCCATAGCCTAGCATCTTCTAAGAAGACTTTTTTTAAGACTATGGCAACTAAAGGACATTAGGTGGTATCATTATCTGTAACACCACAGTACTTCTGAATCAACAGTTAAATTCTACATTATTAATCATCTGCTGATTGAACCAAATAACTTCCCTGCAGTACTGCTAACAATGGAAGCAGCAGGGCTTCTGAAACACTGGACATTGTTTTAAATAAAACATTGTTTCTGGCACAATAAGACTGTACTGAATATTTTCAACCAGTGGGACAAGCATTTTTCTGCTAAACCAGACAGTCATTACTATACTGACGGCATTGTTACCAGATTCAGTTTCCTTCTTTCATGCTTTCCAGTCACTACAGGCAAAGTCCCATTGCATATTATACACTTACTTCAGTTATGTACCTCTGACATCTGGACACTAGTTACTAAACGTCATGTTAGTTTCTAAATTAATTTCTTTTTCGCTCTGCATGTGTTTAAAACAGTAAATGTGAAGTGGGAAACTTCCTTCCTTAAGTATTACTCTCAACACCCAGAACTCTGCAGTTAATAGAGACTTTAGTCTTTGAAAAAATACAACCTTAACTGCCCCAATATCCATATTTCCTACAGACAAGACAGTAATTATATTATTATCAGAAGGCCAACCTTTGATTTTGGCACAATCAAGTAGGTAAGGTAAACTCTCTGCTGCAGCTGTCCTTACACCATCATGAAAATAGAATTTGAGCATAGGAACCATCAACTTAACCACTTCTTCTGCATAGTCTGCAAAACCTTCTTTTAATTCACGGGCATAACAGACCAACATCTCACAAGCCGAGGCCTTGTCTTCCAAACCTACAAAAAATATATGCCCATTATCAGTGAAATATATGAGGGTCAGAACTTTAACAGTGGCAACACTGTTGTAGAGATGCCATGCAACGGAACCAAATGTCGCTTATATTGTACCGCACCTTAATTACATACCTACCTTACCTCAGAGCAAATGGACTCCCCCTTCCCACATCACACACATGCGCAGTGACAAGAAGAACAGAATCTCGTGTTAGCTGGCGGTCTAATGTAGTGTTGTCACGTTTTCGAAACAGGAACAACAGAGTTGGATAAAGATTGAATGTGCCAGAGGCCGTACAGCACGACAGTGTCATCAAGGTCTTCAAGAGGCTTGCGGGCAATCTGCATTGCCTTACAGAACAGTAGCAAGGGGGGTAAAAAGCCTTCAACAAGGGACACCAAAATGTGGCAGACATGCGTCGGTCAGGTCGTCCTAGAGTCAGTGAAGAAGTGTATGCTCTTTCTGTGTGACTGGAGAGTGATCAACACCATATGATTTGGGAGCTTGCCCGAGAGACAGGATTAGTGCATACGACTGTGTTTCACATTCTGAAGGAATGCCTGGGCATGAGAAAAATTGCATCACGATGGGTTCCACATGATTTGACGGAAATGCAGAAATGGCTATAATGCAACGCTGCTTGGAACCACTTGGAGCGCGAAGGAGAGGCTTTCTTACGCTGGATGAGACATGGGCCAAACTGTATGAGCCACAAATGAAACCCGTCACCATGAAAAACAAAAGTTCGTCAGAACCCCAGAAATGTGAAAGTTATGGCAATTCTCGTGTATGACTGTGATGGTGTTATCCTAAGACATACAATTCCCCATCAGCAAACTGTCAATACGCAGTATTACTGTTCATTTTGGAACACAACCTGTGACCAGCTTTGAGAAAGAAGCGGTGACACTTTCTGCAGAACCAACCCATCATTTTGCAGGACAATGCTCGGCTGCATGCAGCACAAGCTGTGGCTGATTTGTTCAATCGATGGGGCTGGGAAGTGCTGTACCATCAACCATACTCCCCAGATTTAAGCCCTTGCAACTTCGACTTGATTCCTAAGATGAAGGAACCACTTCGTGGCATTCGCTTCAGAACTGTTCCAGAGATTCTTCAGGCAGTAGACCGCTCCATTTGAACTATCAACACAACAGGGGCTGCTGAAGGTATCCTACGACTTCCACATCGCTGGCAATGGGTTGTACACAATGCTGGGGACTACACTGAAGGACAGTAAAACTTCAAAACATGCATCTATTTTGTATCAGTTGTAAATAAATAGTTGCCACTATTAAAGTTCCAACCCTTGTATAATTAAACAAAGAAAAACTTATTAGTACTGTTACAGTAACATAACTCATGAAGACATTTGGGGAGCAGAGATGCTCCACCATTCTTGACCTCAGCACTAGGTGGAGGCCAGCAGACAGCTTTACACCCAGAAAAAGAGACCTCGGATAGCATGCTCATAGCTTATCTGGATGGTGTGCATAAGAGAAATGTCTCTTTCTCCAGCTGGGAATGGAATTATGGCCATCCAGCCCATATCTATACTGGCAACTATCCTGGCCCTCCCACCTCCCAATTGGGTAGTACTGTATTGTTAAGATCATTAACTGTGGAAAGGTGGGCATTATCAACATCCATTACCTTCTTCCAGATGCAAAAAAATATTGATCATAATCTGGTGACAAAATCAGCTACTTCTTAAAACCTGCATCTCAGTTTAGTATGAGTGAAAATATTAAGAGGTTCATCATTTATGAATTTATAAGAACCTTATGATTGAAGCAGGGAAAAATAACCTTTTAATACTCAGAATATCAGTCTTGTTAAGATATATGTATAAAACCTATAGAAAAAACTGCATTTCTTCATATCCAATTGGTAAAGTTCAAATACGAGAATCATCATGTCTTTATATTCACTACAGAACATGTGAGAAACGCAGGACTCTTAGAACAGACTGGTAATTTGCGAGAACTTTGCACACTGTGTGTTCTACTGTTAAGTACACACCAGTCCTGAACTTCACCCATTTGCAGAAAGATCATCTCCTAATGATATGAACACCTCTGAACATTCTGGAAAATTATAATGCTGGCCAATATGCAACTACCCCACTTCCAGAAGACCAGCTATGGTGATTACTGCTGTTGAAGCTCTTATGTTCTATCTCAAGGAACTATTACACAATTTCCTTGGAGAGGCCAAGGAAAACCACAGAAGCCTGTCAGAATGTCTGATTTCCCAGCCAAGGTCTGAACCAGGTACAAAGCAGAAACATTAACGATACAGAGTCATGTTCAAAGTGAATGATATGCTAGCTTCTTGCAACTAATTTAGCACGAGCTGGTACTGGCGAGGAAACAGTCTCAATGGAAAAGAACAAATAATCAAGAGGCATACAAGAGAGTGCTAGATCAGTTAATGCTGAACAGAGAGAATCAGGAAGCATTTTCATTTCCATAACCAGTTTCTAAAATGATTACAATTACCTGATGTTTTGATGCCAAAGTTCTGCTGCTCCCCAAGTGATACAAACTGCCAATCAATGTCTCCTTCAATCCCTTGCATATCCTCATTGTCAAGAAGGGCAACTTCAGGCTTCATGGATGCAGCTTTCATAACAGGGCCCATGACTAATGGCAGATACTGTTCAAACTGTTTCCCTGTAAATTACATGGGTACTTTGTCACTTAGTAAATACTTGTGGAAAAAATGTATTCTCTCCATCAAGCCCCAAACATTACACATTCTACACCAAAGTGAGGCATAAAAATAAACAGTGAGAGGCAATACTTATATACCTCAATATGATTTTTATCACATAGTGAAAATGTGGTAGAACAAGTACAGCTTACAACACGAATGTCATTACAGTGATAAAAACCACTGGGACAATCAATTTCTTAATAATGTTATATTTTAGCGTCCTGTTGCACTGGATTGGATCAGCACCTGAAGATGGCACATTTGTGCTGAAACATGTAGTGAGTGAGAAGAGGGGATAGATGAATGTATGCACTAGAAGACGGATAAAATAAATCATGGACAATTTCTTAATGTTGTAATTACAGAAAATCATCACATAAAACAAAGGCACCTTACTGGCACATTCATCATAATGAGCAACTAATATCCAGTCGCTACTGTTTTCCCACATTTACACCAGCTACACTTGCAGTTTTGCTTATAAAGTAATTCATGGCTTGCAACACATAAAGGTTCCATTAACACAGCACTTCTACCCTACCTCCATGGAGGAGTTTGAATTTCAGAATCTGTATTCACAGCAACTTAGCATCCCCCAGTTTTATCCACTGAGAAATACTGTAGCGTGTTTTGTGTGTGTCATGCTACAAATAAGTTTACGCCGTGTTCGATATAGCGGATTTATTCCATTCGCTCACCTTACACACTTTACAATCATTTGCTCTTGCAGTGTTACAATTACTGCTTACAATATCTCGACGGTACTGGACGGTCTTCTCTGGCGGTTTATAGCAGACTAACTTCTTTTGGCGACTAATCCGAGACTCTTCTTCGACGGTTGGATAAAGACTGACTTCCTCCAGCGGTTGATTCCAGACTAACTGTGTGAATGCATTCAACCGTTTTATAACCTCGGTCACTGCTATGCAGCGAACCCTCCGTTATAAACGTGGAGACTGCTGTTAGAACTACAATAGGGCGATTGTTGTTTCCTATGCAACGGCCTATTTTAGTGTTTCCATAGAAGTGGCTCTTCTGGATTCCAGACACGTTACATTGCTCCCTTCTAAAGGTTGTTCGTCCCCGAACAGCCTAAAGGTTCTCCCTCGGTTTCGATTCCACGGTGTTCTGTTGACAGCGTCTGCATTCGGTCTTGGTGTCCTGCTGGCATCTTTGTGCGCTCTTCATCTAACCGTATCCGCCCCTCTCTTCACTGGTGCTCACCCCCGAGCACTTCCAAGGTCCAGCGGTTGTCGGTCCCATTGTCTCACATTCATTCCTCACTTCCATTCTCCATTCATCCTTGTTGGGGAGGCCGGTACTTCTACATTACCGGTTCCTCCCATAAGGGCCGTTTCCCTTTTTCCGTTTTGGAGGAGGTCGACCCCTCCACAGTGTCCAGTTCTTGTTTCTCCACGCCCTGCTGGGGGCCTTGGAATTTACTTCATGTTTTCTGGACCGTAGATTTCATATAAGTTTTCTTAGTTTCCCTTCGCTTCACAGTAGAGCTCGCTCTCCCGGGCTCCACTTCCAGATGCCGTCCGTCATTGTCCTCTTCTTCCTCCCATGTAGTGACTCCTTGCTGTGTCGATCCTTTGTTCCTTTATGGTAGGTCCTTAAATTCTTCTTGAGCGGCCCTTCTCTCCATGTTGCTTGCTCAATCGTGGTCCCGATGCGGTTTCTCCTACCCACGCTTTTCTTGCGCCAGGCAATTCTTGGACAGGACGTCTTTCTGCCGGTCTCCTTTGTCTGCCGTGCCACTTTTGCACGGAGGCTCGTCCCTCTGTGGGCGATGGCCAATTTCTTCCGCTGGCATCCAAAGGTTCCCTGGGGAGTTTCCTTCTTGAAGGCATTTCTCCAACATCGTTACATGTTACAATATATATACTATGTGACGCCCACATCTGTGCTGTATCTTTTCCTCCTTGTCACACATATCTCCTGTTCCCCTAAATTTCCTGTAACCTAGGTGGGACAATGATGTCATGGAATACAACTATGTAGGTGCAGGTTCAGGGTTCTGCCATGTCAGATGTGTTTTCTGGCTGACTGACCGCAACATTTTGGAAAACAATAACAGCAGCAATGAAACTGAAGAATTTCAACTCAAATATTATATTTGAAATAATATCTGTATGGTGTCACCAGCTCATCAAAAATCGAACAGGAATGTGATACAGATTCACTTCTTTGACACAGTTTACAAAGCTGAAGAACAAAAAGAAAACAGAGTACACACCAAACCTCAGCAAAGTAACGCTGCTTCTTTCTTTCATGAGTATGTATTGGTGAAAATTGTTTATCATCTCAGTCTGTGATTATGTGATGAACATAATACACAGATTAAAAGCATCCCATTAATAGGGTTATTTTCATTACGAGTGTTCTAATATAAATATGTTAATTCTGTATAGTTTACATGTCATTACCACAATATGCATTTTATAATTAAGTACAATGATGATCCACAACTATCACTTATGTACATATCAAAAATTTGCATGTATTCCAAATGCAGCATTTAGAACCTATGATGTAGTGTATGTACACTACATATTACATACATATTAGTGCAATTTAAACTGCTTCATGTGTTATGTATACTACTCAAGCTTTATAAACTCAATGCATTTTATTTGCATGTGTGGACAAGCAATAGATTATGGGCAGAATGGGACTTGTAAACAAGAAGCAAATTATGACTGATCCATGCCTGTGGGCATACAGAAAATGGTGGGCTGGACTTTGGTTCACAAAAGAGGGTTCCTAATTGGCAGCTGGTTGCAAGTATAAGAGGTTATAGAAATATTGCTGTAATGTCATAATTATTGAAACCTCAGTGCCATATTACATTATATATAACTAGAACTTAGAGGAAGCATTTATAATGGATTTCAACAATGTCTGAACATTACAAGTATCTGCAATAACAAACAATTTTAGGAACCATATCAATTCTCACAATATCAAAATTCCTCTGTAGATCAGCAATCTTCAGCAACATTAGCTGCTTTTTAGACACCTAATAAGTATGATTTTACTTTCACGTAAAATATGAAATATACTGTAAATACAGACCAGAATTAAATTACACAGCCTTAATCATACAGACAGGAATGACCTACTAATCATTCCAGCCTTCACTTTATGCACTTTATGAAAAGGAAGTGTTCTAGTACATTCTAAACATGTTTTCTGACCTAGTATCTTGCATATCCTAGCCCAGGCAGAGATGAGGTATGATGTTTGGGGATCATCATCCTGTAGACCCCCTTCTGTCTGCGTCTTCAGCAACATGTCCATGACTTCACTTGCATCATTCATAAACTGGACAAACATACACAGAAAGGTTACTATAAACTAATGAAGGCCTGCACAACTATCCTACTGATGTAGTAGCCACCTCCAAAAACTAGGGCTCACAAAAGAAACAAAATACCATGAGTGAGAAATTTGGTTGTATTTGTTAACAAGAAAACTTAACCATGTATTGTCATATAATTATTGACTAGTGGGGTACACGTGAACGGGTTCTAGATCAGATGATTGGATTTACTGGCACTTCAGTTACAGTCTCTCTTAATTACAATAACAGAGTGCCATTGCTGATTTACACTTCATAATTCACTGTTATGCACACACACTAATCATCTCCTGGTAACAGATCTTAACACAGAAACTAGCACTTCAAATCACTATGAAGTCTTCTTGTCAGTTCGTCTTGTCACTCTGGAAACTTGGAACTCAACTAAAAACTCTATTACTCACTTCTCCAGCTTGCAATTGCCTGCAAATGACCTCTGTTGTCCCCTGTAAACCTTCAGCATGGACCTACAGACAACACGTTATGTGGTTACTATCCACTGTTGTGTGATGTCACCGCCTATGCAGAAATGTCTCTACCAAGCCGTTGCCTTGAAATGGGTTGCATAACCTTACTGTTCTACTGTTGCGTGGACATATCACAGGGTGTTTATCGAGCTGTTGCCTGGCAATGCGTTGACATGTCACAGTATAATTCACAGCCAACTCCTTTCATGCTTGAGGAAAACCCATGTTCTACAATCCCCTAATATATTTAAAATTTTAACATATTACATACTCTATCATATGTACTGTAAGCATAACACATGCAGTAACCCTGAATTAAACCCAACTTCCAATACTATGATATTACAATATGTAATTCATTAACATTTTCTTTATTTGTAAATATTCACCTGATTATGATCAATATTTGACTGAAACAAGTCACGATTTTAAGAAATATTTTTATTTCTTTTCAACAATATCTTTTAATGATTGCATGTCTTATTTATTTATCATTATTTATTAATATTGTACTGTCTTGTATTTCTGACTTTTCTATATCCAATGGTTGTACCAGTATGGATCAACAGAATAAATTAAAACTAAATTGAAATAAAACAGTTGGCTATTAATGATATACCATGCATGAATATTGTGCAGACGGCTAATAATACAAGAAGACTTTAACACACACAACAAGATAGAAGAACTACAGACGATTCTAACATGTAATAATTTTATTCCAGGCCTGTACAAATCCTTGGCCCCAGGTCAATATGGTGCCTAAAATTTTCATGATGGCATTTAGAATTTTTTTCCTATCACATTACCTGTGAAAGCTGAGAGGCAATGCAATTTCTTTCTTCTATTCCTTTATCCCTTTTCTATCTTTCCCTACTTTCCCTTTTATTGATTTCCCCCTCTCTTATTTGTCCAACCCACTGACATTCCTCTCCACCTTTCTTCCCCCCTCTCACTATTCCACTTTCAAATGGTTCCCTCATCTCTTTTCTTCCATCACCCTATCCCTTTATCTACTATGCTCTTTCCTTCAGTATTTCTTTCCCATATTGTTTGTGTGCCCAATCTATCATCACTCCTATCTCCATATCCTAATTAACAGCAGATTGGGCTTTCCCCCAGCATGAAAGGAAATGGCTGTTTCAATTGTCATTTTGTTAACAAACATGAATTCCTAACCCAAGGTATTTTGTTTGTGATTACGCTTGCCTTTAGCACAGAACCAATATATAAAACTAAGGGAAACACTGAAAGCAACCTCACATTTGAAACTGACTGTGCAACTGGAATCTAATGTCCAGTCACTCTTCTCCTACCTTCTCTGGGACAGTCTATAAACCAGACTTGCCAACTGATAAAAACCTACTCAAATTCTGCAGGAAAAACATTACCACACAAAGTTCGCATTGCAATTTGTTGCCAATAATCACTCATAAGGTAGAACTTCTGCCATCTACATAACAATAGCCTGCAAAGCAAGAATAATTATTCCGCAACTTACGTTTACCTTCATACCTATGCCACGTAGTAAGACATTTCATCATAACATTTATGACAAGTAAGAATTCTTCTATCATAAATGCACAGTGTAGTGAAAGTGAAGCATTTCCAAGGTTATGCTTATGTGCAAGGCAGCCTTCTGTTACCTAATCATAAGCCAGGAGCCAAACATCACATACAATTCAAGAATTCAGTTGGGCTGCATAAAATATTGAAGAGGGTCACATCTGGCTCACAAGTTCAACATGCCTGGTTTCAAAAAATACTAATTTGTAGCTGCAAAGCTCTGACATAGCTGGGCTCCAGAAATACTTTTGCCTCCTTCACAGAGGCAATATATCAAGAGACCAGTGGTAAGCATATTTTCAGCTTCAGCCTGAAGTATTAAACATTTGCTTAATAATGTGATGCATAAGATACACTTAAAAAAAGTACTTTCTTCTGTGATTGTAATATTTAATACTGAGTTGTAATTATATCGCATACGTCACATAATGTGATACTGTGGGTAAGTGCATTTCATTAAGTGGTCTTCTACCTGAAATGATGAGGTCACTTGGGAGACCTAGGCATAGATGGAAGGACAATATTGGTAAAGATGTGATGGTGTGGACTGGACTCGACTAGTTAGTTAGTTATTTAGAGAGGGTGGGTTTCCCCATGCACCACGACCAGTTTGATCTATTGTGCTTCCCTCTATGATATTCTACCAGTCTCTATACCCTACCGATAAATGGTGCGTACCATCAGTCCCGCCGAGCAAGCGAGTTCAGCCACTTGCTTAGCGGTGTCTATAATGCTTCCCCCATCTATCAGAGGCCTTAGAGACTATTGTTGGGCGGGAAACGTCCTGGAATTTGGCTCAGTGATCCCCTTTGGGGATATGAGGTTCTTTTACGTGCCGTAAAGTTACGACACAGGACACACAGCTTAAAGTCCCTCCCGGAGGACTTGTTCCCTGAATTTTTCCGCCCTTAAAAATTTGACGACCTCCACCGGGTATTTGAACCCGCGTACCACGAGTCATGAGGTGGGAACGTTACCTCTAGACTACGGAGGCCGCTTCTGGACTCGACTAACTTGGGATAGGGTCTAATGGCGGTCTCTTCCAAATGCAGTAATGAACTTCCTGGTACCATAAACATAAGTGAATTTATGGCCCAGCCAAGTGACTATCACCTTCTCAAGGCCTCTGCTCCATCAGGTCACAACATTTGAGTTGTATTCCCATAAGGATTGCAGTGTTTCTGAGTCAGTACTTACCTGAACACACTGCTCCTCTCATCCCTGCCTGTACCACTGTACTGTGGTAAATAACTACTGCAGCTTGATTTAGGGGACAAAAGGGATTAAGACTAAGAATTAAGAGGTGTATTGTATTTCAGTGTTAGGACTCAACATGATAAAAATAGAGTAAATATGAGTAAGGTTTTATATGATCAAAAATATCCAACTAACCTTTTCAGCACCAACTGCCAATCCAATAAGACTAACACATTCAATAGCTTTCCCACGGAGCATCTTTAGTTCCTCTGTGTTGGCGTTCTGGATAATATATTTGAGGCAGGGCATCAAACGATCATAATATGCCACAAACTGCTCCCCTGAGGTGTCCGCAACAGAAGCAATTGTTGTTACAACCTGTTCCAACACCAGCTTTGTGCCCTTTTCCACAAGCTGCAAATGAAATTATAAATACCTTAATGAAAAAATTGCCTTCCATTCAGAAAAGCTGTAGTGTCTGACAGTTCACAATGGCAGCTGACCTCACCTCTTTAAACTTTGTGCTTAGTATAGATTCCAGCTTACTCATGATGGCATCAAGATACTGAGTGAGGATGTTCTTTGGACAATCTTCACTGAAATTGACAAGTGCAGCCCCAGCATGTGCCTGAACTCTTGGGTTAGCATTATCATCTAGGACCATAAGCAGTCCAGGTACAACTTTATCATGGAACTTCTTTTCAAACAGTGGAGCGAAATCTGTTGACATTTGGCCAATAGCATTACAGGCTGCATATCTCACCCGTGGATGCTAAAAAATATATAACAATATAAGTAAACAAGTTCTGTGACTTCTGCAAAACCAAAAATATCCAATATTTACCTAAAATGGGTAAATTTGTGATAAAAGCAATCAGAAGCTGACCTGGGTACGGACCTGAGCATTCATAAAGTTCCTGGCCCTCTTTTCACATCTATACCCATCATACAACTTAACACGTTCCTATTTCCCACACATTTTCCTAAAACTGAATGCCTGGTGCAGATAGGATGTGGTTGTAAAAATGACAAATATTTAAGTTTTTCAATGAACGAATTTCATTTAATATTTGTTTTTAAGTTTATTTTTATATAATGTAACACAGTGGAACTCCCATTTAATGTTCTGTGAACTGTGGTTTTCTTTATGTTCAGTTTCAATGTAATATGGAGGTAACTATATGATTTTAATTTAGTGTCCAAACCAGTGATCCTTCAGAAACCTTAAACAGATTAATTGTAATTATAATTATGCTACAATCTGACTTACCAAAACCAAGCCTGAAATATTATGTAATGTCATTTATATTTCATGGGCAGTTAATAAAGATCTCGGTGTAGAATATCAGGTTCCCATAGCAGTGGTTATGAACAGTACTCTCTCCTGGGATGTAACACCATGTAGTCCACTGAAAGTCAACCATGTTTCAGAGGAATATATCACCTCCATCTTCAGGGTCAAAGAATAAGCCAAGCAACATATCAGCATTAGAGCAGGTGACATCAGAGCCAGGCTACACAGTGATATATCCCAGAAAACAGTACTCTTCTTAAGATCTCTACAGTTTGAGATTTTTACTATGTTCTGTTTACAAACTGGTTATGATTTTCTCTGGACAATTACTGTTACCTTCTGTACACTGAATGTACTTACAGGATCTTGTAAAAAACTGAGGACTCCATCCATAATCTGGGGCAACAATGCTTCCATTTGCTTGTGACAACCTTCACCCACAGCTGACAGAGCCATCAAAGCTGCATGCCTGTAATGACAATAACAATAACTCTGTTCACAGAATACCAACAAAGAAAGACAAGTGAACATGGAAGGAATATTCTTATTGTAGACAACAGTTACAATAAGTCATCCAGTGGCACTCTCATGTACAACAGACCACATAAAAAGGAATTTAATGGTGAAACACTATAATGAAATGATACAACATACATAATTTCATGAAAAGCAACAAGACAACAAAAACACAAAATTACAACACCATATGTTCATGTATGTACACTTCAAAACAGACGGTAAAACACCTGTGAAAAACTTAGAATTAAGCACACGGATAACAGAAAACAGCTATTAAATATGCTACTTCATGTGGAAATATACTATAAGCTTTTTCATTTTTTGAGTTAAATATTCTCAACAGATACACACTCTGGCACATTCTTATTGAAAAATTATCCATTGGGATTTCAGAGTTGCACAAGTGAGAGATATGATCAAAATCAGTCTAAACTTAAAGTATCCTCAATGTAAGGTAGGCAGGATCCTCAAACTCAACTGTCCCTACAGAAAAATTATTTCTAAACACTACCAGAGTGGTTTATTTACCTGCAAGACATATAAAGAGAATATGTGGTCTCTGTGTGAAAGCAATGCACATATATTTATCTTCTGTTCCATACCTGTACCTCCAGTCAGGGTTAGAAAGCATTCCTGGGATGTTTTGTTCTACATGCGGCATCATGGTCTTACCACCCAGACCACATGACAGACGATCTAATGCTGATTCAGCTACAACTGTGTTGCTGTAAAAAAGAAATTGTAACTTAGTAGTCATATTTAAATTTTGTAGAGTACAATTTGGTCACAAGAAATAGAAACACATAATCCAACAGGAACTTTTCTTTACACACATTATGTAACACATGGCTAAGAGTCCAGCTTGCGAAGCTGACAGTCAGTCAACCAGCCAAGACATACACCACATTTTATGGAACCTAAAGGTTTAGTACCACACTGGCAAGAGCCTGCAATTGGACCCTATCCCAAGCTAGATGAATTGAGTCCTCAAATTCACACCTTATAATATTCACTTACATAATTTATGCACATCTACTTTCAGATATGAAATTTCACACAAGAAATAAACACCCATCAACCTTTCATCAATTCATGAAATACAGGTATGTGGAGCCACTAATGTCCGTGGGTATGTGGCTAAGCACACCATATGTGGTTAGGACTGCAGGGACAGGGTGAGAGGATACAAAACACACACATTAAGGAAGAACTTTCTATCAGTGCCATCTAACTGTTTTCTGCTGCTGGTGCACACATTGCAGATGTCATGAGATGTTGCAGACTTTTAATGTACTGTATATCTATACATAGACTGTGTTGACGGAGAGCAAACAATAAAAAGAAAATAAATAAATATCACAGAAATGGGAACTACAGATGGTACAGATTCTATCCATATGTTATAAGAGTTACTGGTGTGGGAACTCAATGTGTTCATGCTAAAGAGTTAGAAAATTAAACCAACATGGGTTATACAGTCAAGCAGTTCAGGATAAAAGCTGTTTCTATGCATTTTCTCTGTATGTAATGTCAAAAGTTGCATGTATTCCAACCAGGAGTTTACTACAGACTGTAACACAATGTATGTATGTTGTCAGTAAGATTTAAACTGCTTCACATGTTAGCCTCCAGTTCAAGAGCAGTTGATGTGCTTATTCTCACACGTATGCATACGCAGCAAAGTATGGGTGGAACATGGACATTTATCATAAAAGTTGGCTCCCAATTAACAGCTGCTGGCTCGCAGAATAAAGCAAGCTTACGAAAATCTTTTAACTCTTCAGTTCAGAAAATGATGAGAATGCTGAACATTTCTTTACTTTCAAATCTCCATAATAGCCACCCCAAACAGAAATGAATATTGATGTAAGTGCATTAATATTCACACCTTAGTGCCACAATGTATTATACACAATTGGAAGTTATGGGATTAACTTGAAGTTACATGTTGTGACATGATAACTCAGTTCATTGTTATGTAACAGTTAAACAAACAAGTACTGCAGCAATGGATATGAATGCAACAACAAAAAACGTGTTGGATATGGTGTTTTCTATGCAGTCCATGCCAAGGCTATGTAGCAAGCACAAATAAAACTGGTTAGTTAGTTGAGAGTCAACAGTTGGGGCAATGACGCAAGCATGAGAGCTGCGGAATCTATATTGTTGAGAGCTGTAACTCAGCAACAGCTTGTGAAGACAAACTGAGAACTGTGTGTGCTGTGGTGGGAAGATAAGTGCATGAATCAGTAAGAGCATTATAATTGCGTGCACTTACAATTTACAAGTGTTCAATAAATCCAATTACGAATCCAAACTGTGTCTAGTCGCTAAATCATGACAACATTTCAACCATTTTTAGATTTTATGAGCATCCATTACAGTGAGGAGTTTTATGAAATTTATAATATTGAGGTTGCACTGTATGAGCATCAATTTGCGGTGGTGCAGTCAATGACATTTTCAAGAGTATCCATAAGCATTTGTAATATAGTGCTGCTAAAATATTCTACCCCCCCCCCAAACACACACACTCACAGTCTCCTTAATATTGCTATCAGTAAAGCTTCATATCAATGGGATTCCAAGAAATGTGCTACATGTCATGTGAATTAATGAACTCAATACAATCAAGGAGTCTCTATTGTCCTACTTAAGATAGCAGCAATTTGAAAGTGTGTGTGACATGGGGAAATAATTAGTGCACAAGTACATTGAAAATGATGGTTACAGATTACATGGGGTAAAATGAAAACTGTGCTTCCCCACACACTTGCGCACACACACGCATATGCGCGCGCGCGCGCACACACACAGATATACGGGGTGTTTAATAAAAGCTTTATAACTTTGAAAGCTTATATAAATTTATACAGAGGACATACACAACGTTTTGAACTGTCAAAATGTAGCAAAAAACACTGAGTTTCATGCACGTGGTACTGTAGTACCCGATACCACCACCGCGAGCGCTCCCGCAGTTGAAATCAAGATGGCTACTTTCACAGGTGCAGAGTGCTCGTTCTGTGTTTTGGTTCAAAGAAACGAAATCTGCTACAAAGGAAATTTCGCACTCAGTATCACAAGGAAGCCCCCCAGTAGGCCTACAATTTACTCCTGGCACAAGAATTCTGTTCAGACCGATGTTCTGTGCGCCATGCCAAGCCACCCAGTCGGCCATGTGTTTCTGATGCTACAGTGGAACAGATTAGAGAGCTTCGTTCAAGTCAACACAATGTGCGTCTCGGGAAACTGGTATTCCAAATGTTACTGTGTGGCGAGTGTTACAAAAACGTTTACACTTAAAAGCGTACAGACTATCCATTGTTCAACACCTTACAGATGCGGATAAGGCGGTTCACATGGAATTCTGTATGCAAATGTTTCATCAGATTCAAGATGATGAGAAGTTTCTGGACTCCAGTGATGAGATCATGTTTCATGTCAGCAGTAAGGTCAATACCCACAACTGCAGGATCTGGGGCAGCGAAAATCCATGTGTCTCCCTGGAACATGTTCGTGATAGCCCAAAAGTGAAAGTGTTTTGCGCCCTCAGCAAAGAAAGGGTGTACGGCCCCTTCTTCTTCGTGGAGATCACCATTACCGGTATCGTATATCTGGACATGCTCCAAGAGTTCCTCATTCCACAGTTAGACGAAGTTGACCAAGAAGAACGCATTCACTTCCAGTAAGACGGCACACACCCTCATTACATTGGAGAAGTGCACAAGTACCTCAATACCCGTTTCCCAGGTCGGTGGGTTGGTAGAGCGGCGCCGATAGCATGGATACCTCGTTCCCTGGATCTTACTCCCCTGGATTTTTCTTATGGGGATTCATTAAAGATCGAGTGTTCATACCACCTTTACCTGCAAACAGCATTGAGCTCCGAACTCGAATTACTGTCTCAGTTGCAGAAGTGACACCAGAGATGCTACGTAGCATGTGGCAAGACTGACTACAGGTGGGACGTCTGAAGCATTACCAATGCAAGTAACATTGAACCATAACAATCTGAGGTAAAACTCTGTGTGTTTTGCTACATTATGACATTTCAAAGCGTTGTGTATGTCCTCTGCATAAATAAATGTAAGCTTTCAAATTTGTAAAGCTCTTTTTGAAACACCCTGTATAGCAATTTCCTTAACTTCCATCTAACGTGTAAAAGTGTACTCTGGAAAGCAAATTTTACAAACCACAACATTCAGACAATTTCTGGCTAAAAAAGCATGTAAGCTACACATGTAAATCTAGTACTTCTTTAAGACTGAGCCTACCTATGCCAAGGTGTTCCACATGGTTTTCTCCTTCCTGGGTAACTGCCTAAAATTCTGTATGCAATTCAAACTTCCCCACGTATTCTGCATGTCTTACCCACCTAATACAGATTAAGTGTATCAGATGATGATAAATTACAGGAGTCTTCAATATACAACTTTCTCCTTCCTATCTGCTCTCAACTTCATGGATGTAATTTTGATCTGTTACTCCCGTTCCTAAATTTTTAAACTTTTTAGCATTCTCAAAGGATACATTAGCCAACTTTATATTATGGTTTTGCACTGCACTGTGCTGATCACACATGAACATAAAAACTTTACTTCTACACTAATCTCCTGATAAATATCTAACAGAATTTCTGTATCAACAATTTGGCATGACCTGCAATCTGGCATTACCTGTCGTTATCATCATCTATGATTTCATCAGACACACTCCAATTAGAATCATCTTCTAGGTCAGTCATCATTTTAAGCACCTGAGGTACCAGTAAAGGGATGTATTTGGCTCCAACTTTGCGTAGCATTGCTGGTGCTGTCTCTGACAATGTCACCATCACCTCCAGTGCTAAGTGTCTCCAAGAATCTGGTACATCATCATTTGAAAGTACCTGGTTTACAGAAGACACAACAGTTAGTTAATAAATGCAACCACAACAAAATCCAGAAATGAGTTACCTAGAGCCCCAGAAATACTACTTCTTGGTCACTGGTGTGACATCACTAACCAACTCTGGCTTAATTCAGAATTTATTCAACACAGCACAAAGTTCATGAAATATTAACAACAAATCTGATTTTAATATGACAGATGATAAAACTAACAATTTATGCCATCTGCAGGCTGAGTACAGCACCATGTTTATTTTAAGCTCAGGCCCACTTATATTCATAATGTATGATCACATTATGTCTTATGAGTGTCTTTCATCAACAGCTGTAAAATGTTGTGACTTCCATGATTACTCCACAAAATTTAGAACATTGAGGTGAACAGTATAGCAAGAAATATTGCTGTGTACAGACTTACATTGTAATTAGAATTTTAACTTAAATTTACAAAGATACAGAACCAGTCAGGAAGAATGTCTCATCCCTATTCCCTATATAAGTATATATAAAATTCAATCGCCTGCCTTCAAAACCGTGAAAAATACTGTTTCATGTCAAATGACATGCATTTAAGGGAAGTCCAATCTGACATGTCTTCCAGCGACTACAAACCTAGATCCAACGGTATGAAACACTGACTACCAGGATCAGAAACTTTTAGAACGAAAAACATCGTAATAAATAGGCCAGGCATACCTACTGGTCATAATGCTCCAACTTACTTTCATGCATAGGTTAAGAATTTGATCTAGCTGTGGTCTAAGAAACTTGGGTGCCGATTCACAGATATCAATTAAACACTTAAGGAGTGTGTCATCATCTTGTTTCTCAATGCTCTCAGCTGTTACCTGCAAACATGTCATCCACATACATTTAAAACATTATCAGAAAGAGACACTTGGTAAGGCATTACCTGTATGGTGCAACAGTTGCATATGTGACACACAACAGAATACATTTTAGCTACAAAGGTGGGTAAATCAGCAAAAAGATTACACACAGACGCAGAAGGACATACAAATGTAGATACACTCAGCATTCACATGAAATTCCTAGATACAACAGATATCTCTACCGATGTGTTCATGGTATAGATGTTACTAAGTGCATATTAATCTACTCTGTTCGTATAAATTTTCAATACAACCACAGACTAACACAATAATCACCTGATACTTTCATTTAAAACTAACAATAATAATGAACACACTGTCAATATTCATCAACTTCCTCTATCTCTCCTCTCTTCCCATCCTCCCTCAAATAAATATTGCCAAAATCTCATAAATTGCAAAAAATAAAAATCTCATAAGCATCTGCATCCTTTACCTGAAACAGTCTTCATGCTCTACTGGGGAACAAATATTCAGAACAATATCACACCAGTGAACTCTTCACATTATGTACCATATCCTATAACTAATAAACTCTACCCTCTTAACAGCTGACATGATTCTCTTATGCACTCACTCACTCACTCACTCACTCACAGAGCTGAGCACTTCTTGAGAAGCCGCCAACTGGGCAGCTATTCAGGAGCTTCCCAGCATTTTATGGAACCTGAAAGTTCATTGTGTTCACAAGAGTCCTCCACTGGTCCCTATCCTGAGCCAGATCAATCCAATCCATCCCATCACTCTAAGATCCATTTTAATACTGTCCACCCACCTATGCCTTGGTCTTCCCAGTGGCTTCTTTCCATTTGGCATTCCCACCAATATTCTATACACGTTCTCTTCTACCCCATTCTTGTCACATGCCCTGCCCACCTTGTCCTCTTTGACTTTATCATTCTAATTATACTTGGAGGGGAGTACAAGTTATGAAGATCCTTATTATGCAGTTTCCGCCAACCTCCTGTCAATTCATCTCTCTTTGGTTCAAATGTTCTCCTCATGTCAGAGACCAAGTTTCACACCCATACAGAACCACAGGCAAAATTATAGTTTTGTATATTCTAATTTTTATGTTTTTGGGCAGCAGACGAGAAGACAAAAGGCTCTGGACTGAATGGTAGCAAGCATTACCAGAGTTCAATGTCCTCTTAATTTCCTCCTGAATCAGGTTCCGATGTGTTACCGCCATTCCCAAATATCTGAAATGTGCCACATTTTCGAAACATCTATTACCTATCTTTATGTCATGATTTTGCCCTGCATTCTGGTGATGAGAGAGCAACATATACTTACTTTTCTTTGTTTACTTCAAGACCAACCTACTTACTAGAGTCAAATAAGTTTGTGCATTTTTCTTTATGGTAGCTATATTATCACCCAGTAGATTCACATCATCAGCATAGACCAACAGCTGATGTGTCCCATTTAATTTCAGTCCCAACTGTTTTTCCTGAACCCTAATAATGGCATATTCTAAAACGTAAAACTAGCAGGCATTTTAGGAATAAAAAGAGGGAATATCTAAAAGTAATGTTGTCCCCGTGCTTAAATAATTGAGCACTACATCATGAAGGCAACTGGGAAGTGGATGTATAGATCCACATTTTCTTGACTTCAGCACTAGCTGGAAGCGAGTGGCCATTTTCATGCCCTGGCCACGTTACCTATGGGAAAGAGATCCCAGTACCCACTGGATTGGGTTGACCCAAGAAAGAGCCTGTCTGGATGACGTAACATGGAGAAAATTCGTGATCCCACTGGGACTCGAACTCCAACCCTTCAGTCGTCCAGCCCATAGCCAGTTACTATTCCAGCTATGCTAAAAGATAAAATTAATGAGCTTGCAACAAACAGTAAGAACAAAAATATAAGACACCTATATAGAGGAATAAATAAATTTAAGAGGGGTTAGCAGCCTAGAAGTAACTTGGTGGAGGATGAGAATGGTAATCTTCTCTATATAGGTGTCTTATATTTTGAACAGGTGGAAGAACTACTCCCAGTTACTGAATGTACATAGGGTCAGTGATGTTAGGCAGATAGACGTACATACAGCTGAGCCATTAGTAGCTGATCCTAGTCCTTTTGATTGAAAATGCTATTGCAAAGTTGAAAAAAATAAATCTCCAGGTAGTGATAAAATTCCATAAGAACCGATTCAAGCAGGAGGTGAAACATTATTGTCCAAGATCCATAAACTCATTAATTCTATTTGTAATATGAAAGAATTGTCTGATCAGTGGAAGACATCTACTACTGTACCAGTTTACAAGAAGAGTGATGAAACTGACTGTATTAATTATTGTGGGATATCACACCCATCAACTTCTTACAAAATTTTATTCAAAATTCTTCTCTCAGGGTTAAGTCTATATACACAAGAAAGTATCTGGGATCATTCAGATGGTTTTCAACGTTAAGAGATCGACTACTGATAAGATTTTTTGCATTCGTCAGATACTGGAGAAAAAATGGGAATATAATGATTCGGCATAGAGACTTCAAGAAAACTTATGATTCAGTTAGGAGCGAAGAACTGTACAGTATCCTCATAATAGAGTTTGGGGTACCCATGAAACTGGTTATGACTATTAAATTATGTTTAAATAAAACTTGTAGTGGACTGGACTGATTTGACACAGGATAGGGGCCAGTGAAGGGTCTTTGTGAACATGGTAATGAACCTTAGGGTTCCATAAAATATTGAGAAGTTCTTGTGCAGCTGGACAACTAGCGGCTTCTCAAGCAGGGTTCAGCTCTGTTAAGTTAGTTATTCTTAATGCTTTCCTCCTCAGTCATATGTCTGCTTGAAGAATGCTACTCAGAATGTTGCAGTATTCAGTAGATGTAAGACCAATGAGACCCCAGGTTATAAATCATAGTGGCTTAAATACCTGCACCATATTGGGTAGTAGGTCAGAAAAATGTTTCTGAATTGGAGCTTCCTTCTCGTGAAGCATTATAAATGCTGTAACAGCACGAACAGCTTGGAACCGAACCTGAAACCAAACAAAACTCTGAAAAATTACATAATTTTACAAAACTGTAAATTAATTACTAGGAATAAACACAATACATAGGACAATAAATAGCAATGTTCACAGACTGAATCTCAGAAATAAAAACACTGCCATAACTGCCTCTTCAACCAAACTTAGTTCTTTAACTTGTAAAAACAGAATATTTGCTCAGAAACACTTACTGCTTACATGTTCTGATATCTTTATTGCTGACAAAGTGTCAGTTAAATGTATGTTTCCTGTTTTTGTCAGAATTCACTCTTGATTATTTGTGGCTCTCAACAACAAAACTGCAAATTACAGAAATACTGTATCATTTCAAATATAAGACACACACTTTACACATTTTTACCTCTTGAAAAATTGAGGCACATCTGAAATTTGAGGAATGTGCACTTTTCTAGTTTTTTTCCTAAAACCCACATTAAAAAAAACTGAACGCATCTTAAATTCTAGGGCATCTTATATTCGATGTAATACAGTATATATGCGGTATGTTCAGAAGGTTTCCAAAATGATGGTGAGGAGCAACAGTGCATTGGTCATGTCAGGGGTTTGAGTGACCTTGCAACCTGAGCATTAGTTATGTAAGCCACTCTGTTCCAAGAAGATTGGAGGTTCCATTAATATTTATAACTGGTTTTGTGGTCAAGTGTGCTGATGCCTTTTTGCATTCAGTATGGAGTGAGTAAAGGCACAAAGAATCTGTGTTAAATTCTGTTTTAAAGTTAGGAAAACAGCTGCAGAAACTCACAACATGTTGCATGAAGCATACAGCAATGATGCCTCGAGTCAAACAACCATGTTAAGAATGGTTCAAACGTTTCACAAATGGAAGAACTTCCAATGGAAGATGATTAGAGTCCTGGCTAATATTCAATTTCAAGATCTGAACCTCTGATAGCCCAAGTGAAAAATACTGTGTAAATCGTCTACTGACTGTTTGCAAAGTTGCAGAAGAGGTTGGAAAATCCAGTGGTTCATGCCACACAATCTTAACACTTTACAGACCAGCAATTTAAATATTTAAATCACCCTGGGGACCGGCATTTTTATACCTACTACCTTCACTTGTGCACTGCTCACTTTAAAAATTAATATAAAATCTCCTAATTAATTTTATGAACTAAAATTTTGGAGAACACTTACCAATGCTCCTAGAAGTGCTTGAGAGTGTAATATTTCTGGAAACATTCCCCTTTGTGAAGTGGCATTACACAGAACTTGCACATGTAGACATTAGGCCCATTAGAAAGATCATTGCAAAAAATTTTCTCATTTCTGCTGAAGTGATATCCACCCATTTCAACGCCTTATAACTTCTGTCATAATGTTCACGGTGTTGGAGATGGTATCTGTTAACGTTTCCTGACACAGCATGTCAAAGAAACTATCTCCAAAAAACAGTTCCGCTACTTCAGACACTTGCGTTGGGTCCGATGGAATTTGCTTCACCCCTGGATTTCCAGTAAACTGTCCCAAAGCAGGCGTTTTGTCTACTTTTCCCCATGTGGCTGTCCCCGCAATGTTGCTACCCGCACATTCGTCGGAGCTACAGTCACTTTCACTTTCACTGTCTGTGGTCACAATTTTTTGTTCGCCCCTGCCACACTCACTATAAGATTGTGAGTTGCTATCACCAGCAGACTCACAAGGGAAGTCAGATAGCTCATCGGAGAAGAAGTCAGATATTTCTTGTTCTCCAAGAAATTGCTTAGGTGTCAACCGCTTTGGTCTTTGATCTGACTTTGATCTACTGACTGACAGCTTGCTACGTAAAGCTTGAAGAAATAAAGGCATTTATTTTCCTTTGCAGGGGCATAGAGTTACAGCGAGGTCTAGTAACTGATTTGTCAGCAGACATTCCAGAGCCTTATAACGCAGCTGCAGGCAGCTATGTGCTAGCTACGTGGAGCCAGAGAGATGTATAGTGTGTTGCAACTTGTCCTGTTTTAAAAACCTGTTAACACGCGAACAGTCCGGCATGTTTAAAAGCGAAAAGCCTTTTAAAGGGTGCATGGTCCGCAAAGTGTTAATGGAAGATTTAGAAGTCACTGGGTTTCAGCAAAATTTGTGCCAAGACTTTTGACTGATGATCAGAAACTGCAACAACTTTCCATCTTGAACATATCCTCCAAAGACTAAATGACAATGAAAATCTTTTGAAAAATGTTATTACCAGTGATGAGACATGTGTTTAGGGCATGATGTTAAAACCAAACAACAATCCTCACACTTTAAGATTCATGCCTAGCCTCCCCAAGACAGGCGTACTTGTGTGTAAAAGCAATGTTTTTTTTTTTTTTCGAGGCATTGTGCATTATGAATTTGCTCATAAAGGTCAGACAATCAAGATTTTCATCCGAATGTTTTGAAATGTCTGAGGGATGCAGTTCATAAATTACAACCTTAAATCCAAATTGTGAACTGCAGGATGCTGGCTCCTCCATCACAACAATGTGCCTGCTCACACAGTGCTATCAATTAGACAATTCTTGGCAAACCATTCGATTCTGATTCTTCCACAACCCACCTACCACCTGACCTCTCCCCTCCCAACTTTTTTCTATTCCCTGAAATCAAAATTACCCTTAAAGGAAGAATATCTCAAACAGTGAAAGACATCATCACTAATATGACAAACGACTTGAAGGCTATACCACAAACATCCTTTGAATAGTGTTTCTGAAAGTGTAACTGGCAGTGCGAGGGGTACATTGCTGCATAAGGGGACTGCTTTGAAGGGGATAATATTTAATAAGCTCTAAACAAAGGAAGATATTAGTTATAGACAAATTTTGGGAACGTTTTGAACATACCTCATATATAAAGAAATAATTTCCCTTGTCAAGAGTTAACAAAGCACTTAAATAAAAACTTGCCACCTTCCACAACCTCTATCTGTATTCATGATAAACACTATTCAGGTTGAAGAAAGCCGTCTCCTGGGATGTGGCGCCGTGTAGAAATTGTGTTAACCGACGTTTCAGAGGAACGTCGGTTAACACAATTTCTACATGGCGCTACATCCCAGAACATGGCTTTCTTCATGGTCACCGCTTTGAAAACCTCAAATCTTACTATGCAAGTTGTCTCAGTATTAAGCAGGGAGTAAGATCTATGAGATAAGAGATTTTCATAGAAGGCAGGAAAGTGCCTAAGTCAGGGCCATTGTGGTGGAGAGCCATGAGTTCTGCCAATGACATCAGAGATCAATTAATAGCACCCAGTAGAAAGTCAAGCCCACTCAGCAGCAACTGATGAAGGCATTGTTCAGTTTACTGAATTTGTTTACTGTTGTAACCTGAATGTTTTTCCTATTCCTAAAACTTAGAATTGTTTACAAAATCAAAGAGAACAAAACAGCAGCATTCAAGATGGATTATAGAAGAATTTTGAAACTGACATCAGCCATGACAAAAGGATATACATATAACATATATATATACTCCTAAGAGATGTAATTAACTCCTTTCCCATCTCCTCCTACATTCACATTTTGCTGGTCTGGAAACTTCTGGGTCAGACTTCATACAACTGACTCTCTTCCTCCTCAAAATAGAGCATGTGGTCTCACAATAAAGTTCATACACATATCGCAGTAAAAGTGCTACATACTTCATTGCTGAATATCACTGTGGTCACCTTCAAAGCACTCCCCTTGGGAAGCTATGACTGATGCCAGTGCTTAGTATCTCTCCTACTTACTCTATGAATAAGGTCAATTTTCTCTCTCATTTCCTACTGGTTATCATGCTACAAATCTAAAATGCAATTCCCACCAACCTGTGGACCTGTACTGCAAGTACCGGCAGACACCATAGAGGATCTCTGATACATTAGCAATATGACAAGACTTCCACAGTTACCACCAACCAAAACCAGAATTCAAACAAGCAATGACCTGCCAAAAAAGCCTGAAATTTCTTATAACTACTCTTCTATGACTTACAGATAACAGTAAGGATTCTTTATTTTTCAGCAGTAATATCAGTTAACTCACTTCATAGCCTGCACCTTCCATGAGAGACTGCTGCATCATCTGCTTAATAAGGTCTAAGTAATGAGACTGCTGGTTTCCAAACACACCAGGAAAAGATCTAAAAGAATGCAAAAAAAAAAAGTGTCTACTTCCCTCATATTCAGACTAAAGCAACATTAAGTACTAGTACATTAAATTCTACAAACCTACTCTTCCTAAGATAACATACATTTGTACGGAACATATTTAATTATCTGGGAATATAAACCGTGTTCAGAGAGCAGGCTGATTGGACATTGATTTTACCATCAGCAACTTCCTGTGAAAATGATGAGCCACTTACCAAGAAAAATGCTGCCAAGCAGCCTGTAAAGCTAGCTCACATTGTTCACTTCTTTTGTTAATTATTAATCAAATATAGTAATTAATACTGTACCCACCATCATAAAAATGTTAAAAATGTCTGCCCTCTGCCGTGAGAAATATGTGAATTATTTTGAACAATTTTGGGAAACTTGTTGCAATTCACACTGCTGAATGTTGTCAAATGCTTCAAGAATATTCTGTTTTAGAGCCTGTAGGTCATTTGGACTGTTGGCATACAAAACACTTTTAAATTTTCCCCCCAAGTAAAGATCACAGGGGTTTAGATCTGGGGATCTAAGGGGCCAACAAACCTTTTCTAATAATTCTTTCCTCCCCAGAAATTCTCGAAACATAACACATAATGCCCAGATAGTTTCATTAGCTCTGTGTGAAGTTTCACCGTCTTGCATATAATAACCAAACCTTTCTTCTGCAGATGCCAATTTAACAAAAAATGAGTCGAGTATTTCATTAATGTATTGCTGAGCATCAAGAATTCCTTCATAACATATCGGTCCAATTATATGGTTTGCGCTATTGCACACCATATGCCTATCTTCTGGTCGTAAAGCAGAAGCATGAGGATTTTCAGTACTCCAATACCTATTCTTTTGTGAGTTAACATATCCCTAGAGATTAAAATTTGCCTCATCTGTGAAAGATGTCAGTTTAGGATCAGTGAGTCAGTCATGAATGATTGATAAACTAATTACAAAACCTCACTCTTTTTTCATAATCCATAGGTTTAATTAATTTCAGGAACAACAGTAATTTTATATGGACAAATATGCAACAGTTTAGTTGCTGTCCACGCACTGGTTACTGATAAACCACTCTGTTGTGTTAATTGCCGCAAAAATTTTTTAGGAAAATCTTCTAACTGATGACTGATGCCATCAAGTTTTTCCTCAGTTAAAACATGATTTCTTTTTAACTGTTTTCTGTCTATTAAAATACTGCTGGTTTGAACTTTCTTCAATAATTTGGAAATTGTTATCTCCAGATGGACATGTTCTGAGAAGCTCCCCAGACGTCTAATAAGCCTGAACATTGAACACTCGGTAGTAAAAAGTCATTAATGTCACATATTTCAAAAGTATTTAAGACAACACATGAGTTACTACTTGCCAAATGAATGTACAAATTTAACAAACACCCAGAGAGCTCAGAGTCATTTCCATACAGCTCACAACCAGACATTAAGAACTTTTTACTCAGCAGTGACTTTCATTCATTCCCCTTTCCTTTGTCCAAGTTACTGTCCGTTACTGCAGTCTATCAATCAAACGCAAATTAAGGTAGCACACTCCCAACAAAAATGGATCTATATTTTTGCACCACACAAGCCTGGAACTTGATGAAACTGTTACTTCGTTATTGTTCTCTTCTCTATGCATTTCTTCTGCAATGGACCAAAATTATACTACCTGCTGCTTTGCATGGACGTGTAACTTCAATTCTAATTCTAAAACAGCAAAGACTGGGAGTATCTTAATGATGAGAATATTTGTTCCTAAGAGAGATGAAGCAACAAGAGAATAAAAAAACTGCAAAATAAGCAGTTTTATAGTCTGTACTTGTTACCTAATACAGTGTGAATGATGATGTCAAGGAGGGTGAGATGGGCAGGGTCTGTAACACATGTGGGTGAGATGAGAAATGCATATAAACTTTTCACTGCAAAACATCAAGGAAGATCTGGGCACTGATATGAGAATATAAAAATATATATCACACAAAAATACAGAGCAAAGATATATGCGCAATGCAGCTTGCACAACATAAGTCCTACAGTTTCTTCCTTTGAACACATCAATATACTTTCAGATTTCACAGAAGGAGCGATACACAGATAGACACTTGTATTCTCAAGAGTGTCTATCATCATCCAAACAGTTGAGGTAAAGCTCTCAAGTCCACACAAGCATATACATACAACTTACGTGAACATGCGGAGTGCACTTTCTTTCAGAACAGGAGTTGGTGCATTTGCACACTGGAAAAGAAACTGAAGAAATTCAGGCCACTGGTTGTTTCCATCTTCGTCAATTAGGTTACGGGCTACCTCAGCTGCCACATCACAAACTTTCTTGCGTATCGAGTCCGACTCTTCTTGCTGTACAGCAAGCAGCACTTGCTCCTTTAGTTGCTGCTGTCCCTCTGGTGACAGCTGCAACATAATGAGGGACACAGTACTGAACCAGTACTTGTTAAAGACCTGCTTTGAGAGTAAAACCTAGAGTGATGATTTTCAGGTGAATAACACATTCACTGCCTACATCAGTTAAAGGCAATTTACATTACAGTACCACAGTCACAGTGGCTGGAATTAATATTTTATTTTTTTTTAAATCAAGCAATTATACACTTATGTAAACAGCTCCTCGTCTAACTTGCACAAATATCTGAATGACCAAACAAAAAGACTGCCACATAAAAATCTTTCTTGAACCAAACATATCTGTCTTAGGTCTTCAATGAACAGATTTAGTCACTTCAGTATTTTTTAAATATTCCTGTATTTGAAAAAAAAAAGCCCTTCCTGTTAAGAATCACTGTGGCAACCAGTCATTCTTGAAAAACTGGTAGATATTCAGCTGACCAAGACATTTCTTGCGTTTATGGACTCTTTTAAGTCTCATTATCTTGTTCACAAAGAGTAAACATTACACCATATCCTGAACAGTGAAGTTAACATTGTCTCTCATCCATACCTAGGCCCTCAAAGTGGTCTTCTTCCTAAGGTTTCCTTACTAAAATTTTCTATGAATATTATTTTGCCATGCACGCTATATATCCTGAAAATCTCATCATTCTTGAGTTGACAATCTATACACAATTTGATCAAAATAATGATATATACAGCTCCTCATTATGCAATTTATCCTGTTACTTTATGTTTCCTTGGTCCTCATTCTGGCAGAACTCATGAGCAGTGATATTACCACTGCAATTAAATCACTGATCTCCTAATTCGATCATGACTTGTGCCAAGTAAACCTTGGCACATATTCTCTCAAGTAGTGGCACGCTCTTTATTATAAAACTGGCAGTTACCTATATCTGACAAGCCCTGGTGAAGATTTCAGATATAGAAAGTACATGCTGATAACATAAACACTATTAAACTTGTAGGCCTAAATAATGAACAGCTGCAACATAAGAAAATGAAGACATCAACAAATGAGCACCCAAACGATAAAAGAAAAAGACTGACATCTGTTTATTCACTGTACTACAAACAACTAAAACAGATCAACATAATTTTTCACTAATTGATACTTGGGGCTTATTCTATTTAACTGCGTGGTTACACCATTAAAACACTTGCCTATATATATAACATACTAAGACAGAAAACAGGATTTTCCTTTGACTTACAATTAACTGGTATTTTTATTTTAAACTGTTTATTTCTGATCTGCAGTGCTGAAATGGGCAAATGTTACACAACTTTCTCTTTCAAAACAAATGAAATATTACAACATAAACATAAGCTTCAAAATGGCTTATGGAATAGGCAAACCAGTTGCAAAATTCTAATCACTTATCATAGCTAATCACCAATTGCTATCCTACTGACAATAAATCATTTAAACTATCACCATATGACCATTTCAATAAATATGCTTTCCTGACCATCTTATCATACACACAAAGACAATGTGTGAATCAAGTTCATGTGAAAGTATGGTAATGCTCAAGGGCCACGGCATAGCTAAGCGGTTACTTGCTGGCTTCCCACTGCAGTGGCCCGGGTGTAGTCAAGTGGGATTTGTGGTGGACAAAGTGGCACTGGGGCAGGTTTTCTCCAAGTACTTCAGTTTCCCCTGTTACCTTCATTCCATCATAAGTTTCCATCATCATAATCACCCTGGGCAGGTACAATATGCCAATTAGTGGCCGATGCACTGAGTGGACTCAGCTGGACTCTACCCCCCCATGAGAATTAAATGGTAATGCTTATGCCTATCAGACAAGCATTTTAATGGCCATCTACTCCACAAACCAGGGTATGTTATACCTTCTGCAAGCAACATGACCCAAGAGAAGTCCTGCATATATCTGAATTTCCCACCCTCTTACGAATACTTGCATACAGAAAGATTAAAATATGCAATTATTAAGCCAGTTTACAAAAAAGGGGAAAAGGCTGTTATAAGTAACTGGGTTTGCAAAAGTTTTTGAAACAGCAAATTTTAGAAGACTCTATGATCATATTGTATAGGTTCCAAAAGGGATTATCAACCAAANTCACACAATATATATGGACAAATACCGTCTTAAGTGCAACAATTTTATTGTAGTTTTTACTTCTTTTTCCTCCTCCACACTACATGTTTCGGCCCTAAATGGCCATCATCAGGTGTGTATCACTCACGTAGCTGTTACACTGCTTGTTAAAATTTAAAATCACCAGTCTTTCTAATTGTATAAAATCTTTGTTAATCTACACGCGTCGATTTGATTTTTAAATTAGCACTTTTTAAAACTTTAATTCAAGTTAAAATGTCTATAAGATCTCTGTTCTTTCTTTTTCAAATTTTTTAGTTAATTTTTTTTTCAGGGTACATGCCCTATATCTACGGTATATGGACGGTATTTGTCCATATATATTGTGTGAGTGTAACAGGATGCTGAAATATAATATTGCAAAGATGCAATGTTTAATTAACCGATGGAATACTTACAGCTTGGAATAGAAAAGAGTATGTAACTGGTATATTTTGTGACATAGCCAAGGCCTTTGACTGTGTTAATCATGATCATCTATTAATGAAACTGCAGTACTATGGAGTGCAGGGTGTATTATTGCAATGGTTCAAATTATGGTTAAATTATATAAATAATAAATACTATTCTACCTGGGAAATTGTTGGATGTGGTGTGCCTCAGGGATCGGTGTTGGGACCCTTATTCTTTAATATATACATAAACGATTTTCCCCTTGAAATAAGTAAAATTTCGGAAGTTATTATGTTTGCAGATGACACAAGTATTCTTTACACAGCTAAAGACTACTATAATTTAAAAATAAAATTGGATGTTGTTTTTAGTCACATGTTAACGTGGTTTCCAAATAATCAATTTGTGTTAAATCTGGATAAAACAAAAATGATAAAATTCACCCCAAAAGCAGCTACGAGCTACCCTCTATATACACTGTTTTTTAACAAAAGGCTGAAAATAGTAGAAAGAATAAAATTTCTTGGTTTGCAGCTGGACAATCATCTGACTTGTAAGGGACATATCAATTGTTTGCTTCACAAGTTGAGTACAGTTTGTTTTCTGATGCGAAGATTATCCTATATATCAAATATAAAGTCTTAAAGCTGTATATTATGCATATTATCATTCACTGGTGAACTATGGAATAATATATTGGGGAAATACCTCAGAGAGTCATAAGGTCTTTGTTATACAAAAGAAAATACAGTGGAACCTAGCTTAACGAGCACCTCTCATAACGAGTAATTTGCATAATGAGCAGAAGAAATTGTAAAAAAATGACTCGCTTAACGAGCCACGTTTCACATAACGAGTGACGAGGGGGGAAGTACTGGACTGTGCGTTTGCTACATCAGTCTGTGTTTAGCACTCGTTCCGCCAACATCTTAGTGTCGCTTGTGATCACACATTTTTCCAAACTTGTGTTCAGACATATTATTTGTGATTTTTTTTTTGTACAAAGTTTAATAACCCTTGCAAAATGTCCCCAAAGAAAAAGCCGCAAAAAGACAGTCATAAGAGAATAAAAATAACCGTAGAAATGAAACGTAAAATCATTGAAAAGCGAGAACGAGGTGTGAGCGTGACTGATCTAGCACGCATATACAATCGGTCTACATCAACAATTTGCACGATTTGGAGTTGCATTGTGTTTCACAGCAAGTTGTGGAGTAGAGTTTGTCAGAAGAGGAGGTAACAGCAAAGCCACAATCTTCTGGCGCAATAAGAGAAATGCTGAAAGCATGGGAAACTGTTGCATCACACAGCGAGAAGCATCACCCTAATAAGGCAGTGGCTATGCATGCTACAAATTTATTTAATGATAATACTGTGTCGCATTTTCACCAAATTTTGAAGCATCAAAAAAAACAAGTGTCTCTAGATAGCTTTCTAGTAAAAAAGAATTAGATATGTATCATAAATAATAAACTAATTATTTAGATTTTTTTGTTTTCTGCAAATTGAATTCGCATTCCAGGTTGGTTCATTCCGCATAGAAGAAAAGATGAAGATGATTCACGCTCCTTAAAGTGTATGTATAATTTTCTTTGAATAAACGTTATACTTAAAATTTTCTGAGTATTTTTTTGGCATGGAACGCATTATTGCATTTTACATTAATTTATATGGGAAAAATTGTTCGCTTAATGGGTGTTTTGCATTACGAGTAAGATTCTGGAACGAATTATGCTCGTTAAGCGAGGTTCCACTGTAATAAGAATAATGATGGGAGTGGGCCCAACTCATACGTGTAAAGATTTATTTAAAAAGCTTGACATACTACCAATCCCATGTGTATATTTGCTCTCATTGATGGCATTTATTGTTAATAATTTGGATAAGTTTCAAACCAATAACTCTGTATATGTGATTGGTACCAGAAGGAATGACCACCTTCATATACCTTCAACACATTTATCATCCTATCAGAGGGGTGTGTATTATTCAGGCGTCAAGCTATTTAACTCTGCTGTCAAATATCACAGTTTCGAAAAATGATAAAAAGCAATTTAGGTTTGTTTTACAAAATTATTTGCAAAGTAACACATTTTACTCTATTGATGAATTTGTCAAGCATGCAAGGGGGTCAAAAGTTAAGAGTTAATAAATGGTCTATGTGCATGAATTATTCATTGTTGAGACTTGCTTGTTGTAAGTGTAGGCGTATGTATGTCTGATGTCTGTTTTTGTTATGAATTTTAATATTCTATAATGTAACTGTTTGGATATGGCTTACCAGTGTGTGTGAAATGGCAAGGTGTAAATTTGACAGTGGTTTTTCCATGACCCATGTGCGGTCCTGACAACTTGAGCTATCTGTGTGAGGACTGATTACATATTTTATTGGATCAAGGACAAATGATGTGTAGTCATCGTGAATTTGTAATGTGTGACATGTTTTATATCCAGCCCTACGGGGAGATGATTGGACCCATGAAGTGAAAAATAAATGTAAATGTATACTGAATTCACCACAAATGCTTCCAGCAGGAGACTATAATGTGTAGTTTGTTTTTCACAGACATGGGAAATAACCGTCAGATAAGTATTCCTCATGGTATATTAACAATATACAGTACCATTTCAAACACAGCAGTTACTCAACTAATTGATTACACCAATGTATTAACCTTTGGAAAGAATTCCATGAACTCTGCTGTGAACAACCGTCGTAAAAGAACAGCAGCCATCTGCCGAAGTTCCTCTTCCATTCCAGCATTATGGACCGAGCTCAGAAGGAATGTAACCTTTGATTCAACCGGGAGATTGTTGTAGGCCTCCTGCGAATCAAAACAAAACTTCAATGCAAAATTCATACATAACGAAACCACAACCTTTTTATGGGCCATTCTGAAAATAACGCCATGGTTATTTCTTCAGGGCAATGCAGAGACCATAAATATTCCTCGTGCTTGAACAACTACACGAGGTAAACGCCAACGTGTACTACTATATCCGAAATTTACAATAACAAAATGGGAAACATATTAAATAATTGCATTGTACTTATTCTATGTGCTACGGTTTTACCTCTGCCTGAGATCGAATATTATTATCGGCGCTTAAAAGAGTGTCCAGTACTTGCCGAAATTGCTCGCGACTTTCAGCCATTTTCGTCGGCACGATGACTTAACGCGCAGGACCATGGGGAATGCTTTTTTCGCGCGTTTTCAAGCAGTGTAGCCAACACCCGTAGCTACACGGTAAAGGTACAGTTTTTCCTGTCCATGAATAATTAAGCACAACGTCATCGTCATGAAGGTTGAGAAGATTTATTGGGGATTGGAGGTATAGCTTCACGTCCCGGCCGCGTAACCATTGGAGAAAGGGTGCCCTGTACTCATTTGATAGGTGACTGAGTGGGCCACAGAGCTGATCTAGACCCTGTGGAGTAAAGAGAAATCTTTTGCCCTTGCAGAGAATCAACCCCCAACCGTTCAGCCCGTAGCTAGTTGCCATACCGACTGAGTTAACTCGGCTCTACCATAGCTGCAAGGTTGCAAGCAGGATTGTGATGCCATGTGAATAAGAGTCTGTTTAGATACAGTACCTTCGGTATAAAATTAAGGGACAATAAATTATGCAGTTTGTTTTGGGGTACAGTCATCATGACCTATTGAAAACTTTTGAAAGCTGATTTTGGTAGATTAAAGGGCTTCCCTTTTGCTTTGTATGAGACTGGAGCTAAGTTTACTCTTAACAACAGGCCCCTATTCTAATCTTTGATACACAACAAAATGTTCAGCACGTATTCAGTAAATGAAATTTCTTAATGTACAGTACCTGTTTGACAATGAAGTGCAGACTGTTTCACAATGTCTTTTCAGGATGGGACAACTTCCTTAGGAAAGAAAAATTATTTTTAATTTACAAGTTAAGCAAAAGACTTATTTCACATGGAAACTGTGATCAGGTCTTTGAAACTAAAAAATTTGCACAGAAAATTCTAAACCACCTTTCTTGCAATATGGCCACAATTTGCCTACCATATGCTTTAAGATTTATACAATGTCTGTTCAGAAAGTAATCTCCAGTAAACTCTTAACAAAACAAGCAATGAGAAAAAAATTATTACATACAAATATTTAAGCTACTTCTCAACACAGTCACAGCCGTAATTAAGGCACTTGTATTAGGGAATAAGTTTTTGTACACCTGTGTCAATGAAATATGTCACCTGTGACCTCAGCCACGTTTTGACACCTTCCATAAACTCCTTGTTATTGTTAAAGTGCTGTGATCCCAACCAGTTCTTCAGGTGGGTAAACAAATGGTAGTTGCTTAGAGCGACATCAGGTTTGCAGGGAGGGTGGTCAAACAACATGCAGTTGAAATGCTTCAACAGTGCTCAAGTGTGAGCAGCTGTATGTGAATGCACATTGTGATGGAGGAGCACTACACCAGATGTCAGCATTCCATGTTTTTAGTTCTGAATGGTCAACCCTACGCACTTCTTTAGTGTTTCGCACGCAACATACTTTTGACATTGTGGTCCTTTCCTGCATGAGTTCCACCATCAGCACTTCTTTCCTGCCCTGAGAAACAGTTCCCATCAGCTTTCTGGCACGCAGATGTCTGTTTAAACTTTTTCAGCTTGTTTGGTGAATGTATGTGCATTCATTGCTTCGACTGCTCTTTGATTTCAACATTCACAAATCAAACCGAGGTTTCATCATTTGTTACATTGTGAGTGAGAAATTCATCGCCATTTTTGTGACATCACTCTAAAAAAGTCAAAGCCAAAGCCATTCTCTACATTTTGTGTGCACCATGAGCATTTTTGGAACCCATCTAGCACAAAACTTGTGGAAGCCTAGCCTAACTGTGATAATCTCATAGAGAACAGTGCATGAAATTTGTGGAAATTCACATGAACTTTCTGAAATTATGAAGTACTGTCTTTCACAGATTTTTGTTCAACACTTTGAATAAGATCATCATTCACTACAGATGGCCGACCACTTCAGTCTTCATAGTGAACACTCTATACTATTTTCTTAACAGTTCCTTCACTCATTACATTCAGGACATAACCGTCATGCATAACTCATAGGGGTTTTCCGCAGCACTCATGTTTTAGCATGAAGAAAGCGGACAACTGCAAATTTCGCAGCTGGTGAGATTATCAATAGGACACATCATTCACTCTGCAGAGATAAGTACGAACACTAGGTGACCAGTTATGTGATGGTTTACAAGGTAATGAGTCATGTAACACTACCTTGCATGCACAAACTCTACCTCTCCCCTACATTAGTTGTCTAAAATAAATGGAGGTTACTTTCCGAATAGCCCTCATGCATATATGTGGTTGATTCTATTGTCACTTAAAAACATCCTGTCAATTACTATCTTGCAAATTCATAAACATAAAAATGATGATCAGTCTTTGCTTAATTTAAAATGCAATTAAGCTATGAAATGTGGGATGATGTATTTAGTGGTAATGATGTTGATACCATCTTCAACTCCTTTTTTTTATACATATTTGAGAATTTTTCATTTTAGTTTTCCATTAAAAAAATAATAACTAGTTCTAAGACAAAAATCAATAATTGGATAACACCAGGTATAAAAATTTCTTGTCGACATAAGTGGGAATTCTACTTGTTGTATAGGAATAATAATGATGCAAATTCTAAAAATTATTATAAATTATATTGCAGAACTTTATCCAGTGTTATTAACATGGCTAAAAGACTTCATTATGATAGATTAATTGTTAATTCAGAGAATAAAATGAAAACTACTTGGAATATTGTTAAATTTGTAACAGGTAAAAGGTCAGGGAAAAAATTGTTTGAGTCAGTTTATATCGTATTTTAACTGATAATCGACAGCTTATAGCTGATTCCTTTCAAAACTACTTTCTATTAACAGCAGACAAAATAATTTCCAATATCAATAACAATGAGGAATTAGAAGATAATAATTGTATTGATTATCTATACAGAGTTTTCAGTAACCCCTTTCCAAATATAATATTCAATAACACAACGACTAGGGAAATTAAGAAAAAATTATTAAATCCCTTAAATCCAAAAATTCATTTGGATATGATGCAATTTCAGTAAAAATCCTTAAAATGAGTTCTCTATTTATCATTGCTTCTTTGAATTATATTTGTAATAGGTCAATTTTATCTGGTTCATTCCCTACACGATTAAAATATTCTGTGGTTAAGCCATTATTTAAAAAAGACGACAATAAAGATATAAAAAATTATAGGTTTATATCACTACTGACTTCCTTTTTTAAAATTTTTGAAAAGATGGTACATATAAGACTTTCTAAACATGTAATAAATAATGCTAAATTATCTAGCGAACAGTTTGGGTTTAGAAGCAATTCCTCAACAGGAAGGGCAGGGCAACATTTAAACTTCTAAATGATATTTTACAGGCCTTAAATAATATGGAACTTGTGGGAGGTATATTTTGTGACCTCAAGAAAGCCTTTGATTGCGTCAATCACGACTTATTAATGAAGAAACTGAAATTCTATGGAATTGTAGGCAATGCATATGCTCTAATCAAATCATATCTCAGTGATAGGTATCAGCGAGTCCTCATTTATGATAAATTAACACATTCTCATACTTCTTCAGAATGGGGGAAGATTAAACATGGAGTGTCCCAGGGATCTACACTTGGACCAATGCTTTTTCTTTTGTACATAAATGACCTAACTTAAGTAGTTAATTATAACTCTAAGCCAGTCATGTTTGCTGATGATACCAGCATTACTGTTAGTAATCCTAATTTATTAAATTTAAAGAAGATATTATTTCCTCTTTCAGACAGTTGAATGAATGGTTTAATATCAATTTGTTGTCATTAAATTATAACAAAACTCAGTATATACAATTTAGAACCATTAATAGCCAAATAATTCAATTAGATATTAGTTATAATAATAAATATATTATTAATAATACAAATACTCGGTTTTTTGGTATTACTGTTGATAGCTCCGTGTCATGGAAGCATCATATTGATGAACTTACAATTAAATTAAGCAAAGCATTTAAGACCATTTGTGTCCCCTGAATCACTAAGGATGATTTACTATTCTTATTTTCATGCAGTTGTCATATGGTATAATCTTCTGGGGGAATTCCCCTTAGAGTATCAATATATTTAAACTACAAAAAGAGGCCATAAGAATTATTACAAATTCCAGAAATAGGGATTCCTGTAGGGAGATGTTTAAGAAACTAATATATTACCGTTTTATTCTCAGTATATTTTCATTACTAATTTTTGTAATAGATAATATCTCCTTATTTAAAACAAATTCAGAGTTATACGATATGAACACCAGAGGTAAATATAATTTTTACCCTTCACAACCAAGGTTGTCTGTCTATAAAAATTATGTTTATTATATAGGTAAAAAGGCATTTAATCACTTACCTCTTTGCATAAAAAAATTGTCAATTTAAAAATATTCTAAAAATTCTATTGAATTCTTTTTATTCACTGAATGATTTTTTTAATAGTAATTACTAATTTTACTGTGAATTTTTAAGCTTTTATGTATCATAGGTGCTTTATTTTGTCATAAACATGTTATCATCTACCGTTTGGTATGATGATTTTTTCAATATTAAATTTAACATGTTGTTATGCTTAATGTTAAAGTAGGAAGATAAACAGTTTGGTTTATTGTTTGATCTGACCTATGCTTTTTTTCATAGCATGTGTATTTTAGTTACTTGTCTGTGACTGGTTCTATATCCGTGAGGCGTATTTGTAGCCTAGATTGGATCGACGGAATTTTACAATGGAAATAAATAAATTACAACAGTTACATAGTATCAAATTAATGAGATGATTGTTAATAGTTAGTAGGCAGGGATTTGAATAGAGTGTTATAATCTATTTTGTGTTACTATCCTGGAATTCATACAGGGAGACTGAGGAAAACTGTGAACACCTCAATTACGATAACTGTAACTCTTTGGAGATGCAAGCCAGATACCTCCAAAATACAAGTCTAGAGCATTACCACTCCACCAGTCTTCTTTGTTTTGTAGACATGGCTCATTGAGTCAGTAAACCTGACTACCTCTGAACTGCAGTGCCAAGGACGTGAATTATTCTGTCTTGAACAAGTTAGTTTCTGGCAGACATGGGGATTAGTTTGTAAGGCCTTCAATATGACAATTCTGCCTTCCATTGAGAAAGTTTGTGTTAATTCCTTTATGTTTGTTATATATGTCAGAATGTTAAATGTTTGGCAGATGTCATAAGAAGCCATGCAAATCTGAAAATTTTCAATTCTGTCCATTACGCGATGCTGTTGTCACTCAAACTTCACAAGTTCACATGGCCACTGTGTTGCAAAGTTTGTATAATTTTCTAAGATCAGGACATAAACTTTGGACACTTTTCAGTATTGTTATCACTCCATCCTCATTATATTGCAGGGCCACCATATTGTAGTAACAAGTATGAATGTGGCATGGCCTCAAATGGCATGATGTTCCAGCGGCTAAAAATTAATGTAGGTGGGGGAGAAGGAGTGGGATTAGGCGCATATGGACATGCTAGCATAGCCAGTCTTGCATTATATAAAACAAGGTTGGAAAGGTGCAGTTCATACCCAAATGCAAAGTTTTCATAAATGTTCTTTACATCTTGACATTCTAAATTCACAGTTGAGTGTATGTACATATCATGTGTATCAAAAATTCATTATAACAGTTGCTTCGTTATTACTTTGGTTACTATTGTTATCCTAATATTTCTTGTTAATATATTTCTTATGATTACAGCATTTCAGCAGTGGTGCTCCCACCTCATACATCTGCCACATTGCTATTACTCACTGGAAATTACATCAGAAATTTTGTCAGAATCCATTCAGGAGTTCTCAAGCTGAAATCCGCAGATATTTAGACAAACATGATCATCCCTGCATGCGATTCTTTTCTTACACGCTGTGAAAATGCAAAATATGGCTAATCAGATCAAAATAAATTAAAAGAAGGAAGGAGTACAGGAGCTGGGCACGATGTCAGAGCCTAACTTGTCTTATATAAAATAATTTTAAAAATGTGATATTCAAAAAAATGATCAGGATAGAATACAAATCAATTGTTCATTCTTTCTGTGACTATTTTCAACAGCGCCACTTCCAATTCTTATGTTGGCATGTTTATTTGTATTGCTGTAACGAAGTGTGATGTATGTGACAGTATTTCATTTCAGAACAGATCTACATTACAAATTGTAACTTCTGGTAGATGGGTAATTTGATATTCGAACTTCAGATTATTTTCACAGTCTTTGATGTTTAAAGGCTATATTTTGTATGTAAAACAATTAGTTTACTACATGGAGTAGTGTCCCAAAGGAGGTAATTAATAATTGCTCCGCTAGTCAAGAAATTCCCCACCTTCTATGGAACCTGAAGATAAATTACTATGTTTAAAGCCTATATTGAGCCATTTCAATCCAGAACACACCCTCACACCACTTCCTTATAATACATTATAATATTATGCTCCCATTTACATCTAGAAGTGCCAGGTGATCTCATCCTTGCAGTAAGTTTAACTAAAATTTTGTGTGTATTTCTCATCTCTCCCAAATGTGCTACATTCCTGTCTATTTCATCCTCCTTTATTTGATCACCATGCTACTGTTTCATTAAGATTACAAATTATGAAGCTCATCGTTTGCAGTTTTGTCCATCTGTGTGTTGTATGAAAAAAGTTGCTATAAAATTGTGTAATTTTGAGGTTGGGTTACATGAACAGAAACATAAAAGTTATTATAATAGCCATGTTATGAATGAAGGACAGAAATACAGTAAGTCCCCAACTTACACATGTGCATGTTTGTTACTTAAACAGTTTAGGTATTTTGACTTCTAGTCATTAGTGCTGAATATACACTGTTCATACATTACATTATAATATGATATGTTATGATACAACTGTACACATTTTTGTTAGCATTAACTACCCATCGAAACAAATGTATATGTCAAAAAATATATCATATTTAAGTGTTGCTGGATTTACACAGTAGTCAATTTACAAAGAATCCATCGGAACAAATTAACTGTGTATGGTGAGACTTACTGTACTGATCTGGAATGGTAGGGATATCATGTGGACATAATGGGGCAACTGGAATATTTATGTGATGCTTTACAAACATCAGGATGGTTTAGCCATGGAGCAAATCATGCTAATTTTTGTACTTGTAATCTCAAGGAGGGGAGAAAAACTAATAAAACAAAAAATAATTGAGAGAAGATAACTCATTTAGAAACATGTCAGAAAGGAAACATAATCGCACATTTCTTCTGATTTCCTGCATTATATTTCAGCTCATTTCCCATAAGACTTATCTTTTTTCCATCAGCTCAAAATGAATGCCTGAAATGCTGACAAACATATATCTGAAAATGTTATTTTTAATTTCTTGTGATAATTGAATTAGTTTGTCATTATCTACAAAGGTCAGGAATATTTTTTTAGGCTCAACTGCACTAGAAATCAGTTTTGTAAATAAAAGAAAATAAAATAGCTGCTCACTTTCTGCAGTTCCAACACACAGCTTACAGAGAATATGAACAGTACTACACTGATTATTTACAAATGTAAAGTGAAGAGTGTGGATCAAGATGTGAAGGACTCTTTGAGATCTTTATCTAAGCAACTATTAAAAAATGGAGGAACTATGAAAAATACCAGTCATGGTAACTGACTTGAGATGGGATTGAATGTATCTACCCAGAAATGTACTGTTTGATCCACAAGAAACAAAAATATGACAATAACTAGACATGAGGATGAGGTGTACTTTCTGTTGCTTTCATCTGTACCAAGCACTAAACCTTACACTTGTGTTATTACATCCAATCCCAGCTAACAATAAATGCTTTAGTTAAAGGAATCGAATTTCTTTCTTGTGTAACAGAGAAACTGAATGAATGGCTACTGACAACAGTTAAAGAACAGAAATCACAATGTTACACAAAATGAGGAGGAGAATTATTATTATAATGTAAAATTCAGGTTCAAGTAGGATAATTATCTTTTTATTTGTATGTACAGTTTGTGAGATAAATTTGTGAATAAACAGGGCAATTATTATATTGTGTACATTTCTGCCAAAAAGAGCATGTTATCATAATACTTGTCTGGTACTTGCTCCATCACATAGAAGATCGGCATAAAACATCACAATATCAAATATTGAATGACCCAAGCAATATTTACCATACGACGAAAATAATTATTCCCTGCCTCCTCTCAACCTTTTCATGGCCATGAATCTACCAGAGTGTATCTGGGGGAGGGGGGGTGTCAACTGTTCATCCCTGTAATTTCCCATGATTTTAAGAAAACAATGAAACACTGTACATCATTTTGTTATATGTAGTGTGTGATATGGTCCTTTCCCCTTCAACAGTTGTGGCTGAAGAGTCCTAAAAAAAAAGGAACACAAAAATTTCCCACCCCTTACTTAATTTTCTTGCAGGGGTGAAGGAAATAATATGTCTATGATGATCACAGCACAAAATGTGACAGTTTTTTTTTCTTTTTTTTTTTCTTTTTAATAATATTCATTCATCATTCACGTTATTGTCAGAGTCACCAAGAACAAGCAAGGTGTAATAAGCTATAGGCATTTAGTTTTCTTTTTTACATATGTGCGAGCAAGTTTCTGAGAGTGTTATAGGAAGCTAGGAGTCTCCAGTTGCATTGCGTCCCATATTGCAGTATAGAGCATCAAAGGATAGAGTTGGCACAACTGTCTCATACTTTCACTGATATAAATATCTAAACAGAAACCACAATACTGGCACTGTCCAACCATCACCAAACTGTATTGACCTTCATGAGTGTGAGTGATTCATAACAACTACATTCCTCCTTACAGTACGCTTCTTTTACTAACACTGGCAGGATCATTTATGTAGAAGAAATTCAACCTGATTCCAGATTATAGACCACTCATACTTTCAAAGGTACCTGGAGCATCTTACCCTGACATTGCACGCAACCACTCTACAAAAATATATCAAATTAAATCATACATGTTCCAGATATATATTCATGGTATTCCTAAAGAAAAATATCCATGATGCACATATAGATATTAGAGTAATTTTTTTCAGCATTAGTATAAAACACAGAAGTGATCTCATAGGGTTTCATGCAGCATAGACATCTCCAAGTCAACAAAATGTTCCAAGTTTCAAAACAATATGAATATGGGAAAGCAATAATGATCCAATGGTCCCTTGTGAATCATGTATTTTTATAGCAATCTGGCTGGTTCTGAATATTTACTGTATATACATATTACTCTGAAACGTCTCTTAGTATGGGAACAAAATATTCATTGCTTCCTAATCAGATACTTCATAACACTGATTAAAATATGTAAGAGGATAACAGAAATGACAGGAATAATATAACCTACAAAACAGTGTTTATAACTTCTAACACGAAGCACTAGTTTCTCTCTTATAGACAGTTGTGCTAACTAGTAATATGTGACCCTCAGAGAACCTGTAACATCAGAGGCAGCCAGCCTGAATTATTTTATTCTTTGAAAGTGAAATTGCAAGTTTCAGGTTTTAATACCTAAATAGTTTAAGACTACAATATAAGACTGAAGCACCAATTTTATTTTTTTCTTTTCTTCTTTTCCTTTTCTAACTATAATTACCTTAAAGCTGATAATACCAAAGAAAGGCAGTAGATATGAGGGTAGAAGTCTTAGGTTTGAAGTTTATCACTCTCTCCCTCTCTCTCTCTCTCATTCTCTCTCACTTCAACTTTTCATGGGTTTAGTTTCATTTTGTTTAATGCTGAGAGTGGTTCATTTTACCACCTTCATGAAAGACAAAACCTCAACTCACAGGAGGAAAACTTGTAGATATCCTAAATTATAATTTATAGTGTCCATTGACATATTCTTTATGAGAAAATAATTTTAAAATTTAGTAACATTTTACAAATGAAAGCAATTCCATTATCTAATATATTAACATACAATCCATCCGTTGTATAGTTTACAATTATAATGCATCCAGATTATTGCAAATTTCACATCCAAAAATAAAACCATTCTTTGAAATGTTAATAATTTCATGTGATCCATCAAAATAAATTTTGTCACAAATTCCAGTCTTTAATGCAATGAACATGATACTCTCGCTGAAATGGATATCCACAAGTTAAGATCAAGAGAAGTTTACACAGTTTCATCAAATTTTATCCTGAATATCAATGAAGTAATAATTATATTTTTGTATACAGTTCCACTTTAACCTCAGGGGCTGGGTGAGGGTTCAATTGTATATTTATGTATGCATATTAAAAAAATCTTCTATAATTTCTAACTGCTACAGAGTATATTTTAGGGTTGTGTTTGTTAGGTAGGCAGTTGGGAGTTCCTATTAATTAGCTAGTTATGGTAGTTTTACAAGCACTCACACTTCCATTCTGTCATTTATTTCTATTACTGGCAGTTAAAAAATCAAAAGGTTTCTGTTAATTAAAAATTAAACAATGCCTTAGTATGTTATTCTGCTGTCACCCAATTAAAAAATGACCATTGAAGTTCCGTTTCATGTTGTCAATGTTTCTCTTAAACAAAGAAAGCAAGAGTACAAAATGCCATATGAATTTTCCATCTGGAACTCATTTGTCAATTACAGGAAAAACTTATACAAACAGAACAGTCACTTCGTGAACAATCCTTGGTGTATGGTTTTATAATATGTGAGAATTCAAATTTCTTGTAATTCACAAGTCATGTATTTTTAAAATACATATTCAACCTTCTTTCTCAAACATTTATGGTCATTAGGAAAGTAATATGTTTGATTCCAAATCAGGTTTAAAAATTTTAAATGTATTTTTGTATCCTCTACATAAATAATTTTGTATATGAATATGATTTATAGAAATTAGTTCCAAATGTTAATTCTGAACTTAAAATGTCACATGCCCTGCACCATATATTATGCAGTTGGCCTCCACTGTCTTGAATAATGTTTATGTTAGGATAACATGGAATGTTCAGTTATTAGTTTTCCTTGTAATTTTCCAAGTGCAAACATAACAGGTTGGAACATTCTGTATCTATATACATTTCTCAGCATTCAAACTTATTCTCATTCTCTTTCACGCTCACAGCTGTTTGATTGATATAATTGGTATTTTTAAATTTTATTTTTAATAATCAAATAGTTTTTCTTTTTCAATTGTTATTTAATGTTTATGTGATATATATTCACAGAAACTTGTGGAAGGCGTGAATTTTAAACAGATGTTTTTATTTGGTTGTTTGTTTCGAATGTGAGACTTTTTTCTTTATATAATATGTACAAAGTCTAACCGATGCACGAAGCACAGACACACGATATATTGTTCAACTTTAAAGAAGAAGAAGTATTTTACTTCTGTCACCAATTTCATAGCACTTGGTAGTCTCATGTTTTTATTGTATACATATGCAACTGCTGAAGTGAAAATCTCTAAGAAAACTGACTGGCATGACAGTCGTCCCAATGTCACTGCTCACCATCACCAATGCCTGGTCCCTTCAACTCCTTGTGCATGACAAAGTTTGAAACAAAGCAGCCTGCATGGCAAAGTTTCAAACAAAGGAGCAAGGAGCTACTTTCTCATGCTATTAAGGGGAGAACTGGAGACCAACAACTAGGTTTACAGTAGATATGCTTGCTTGAGGAAGATGTCTCATGAGACAATGATAACTTCATTGTTGTTGTCATCGTTGCTACTGTTGTTGTTGGCTTCGCACTCCCCAGACTCACGTTCTCACTGGTGACATCAAGAGGACAGATCGACCAGAGTACATGCAATAGGACAAAGAGCTGTAAGTAATGGTATACAAAATCCAACACACACAAAAATATTCAGAATCATGCATATTCTTTTCCACATTTTATCCCAATAGTAATGCTATAATGAACTGGTTCCTCTACCTTTTAAAATTTCTAGAAGACTGAGAAATGAGATAAGATTTATTAACGTTTTAAGAGAGATCAAGCTGATTAATTATTACAATTACTGTGATTTTGTGTTTTAAATAAGATAGGATGATGGAAAATGTAAAAAAAAAATAATTGAATTGATAATATACCATAGTCACAAACTTCTAGGTCTGTTTAATTATGTTCGGAATGTGTAAAAAAAAAAAGCTTTTCCTCCTCTGAAATAAAAAAAATTTCTATGATGATGATCACAGAAAAGTCACAACTGAATAATTTTGGAAGAATACATCTTAAGGAAAATGACATATATCACTAAATTTTCATAATAGCTTAAGGAGCACATAAAAAGTATTATTTTAAGCCTAAAATATTTAAGTGAACTTAATGAAGCCTTTAGATAAAGAGTTCCAGCAATGTGACAAGTATGAAGATAATTACATGGCCAAACTGTATTTCATTCAATGCAATATTCAAAGAATGGCTTCCTCATACATAGTGATTATGCTGACTGAAAATTAACATGGTATTCTAGCCAGCAGGGTTTGCAAAAACAAGTAAATATTTTATATGGAGTCACAGAATCATTATAAACATATGTGTGACTTTAAGATCTTGACTGAAAAAGGCTAATAAGTCAGACTCATGGCGTAGTTCTTGGGCCTTCTGTTGTGGCCACTAAGTTTGTTACTATTACACAGTGGACTAATATGACACGAAGCTAGGTAACCTACACAATTTGCAATAAAGTAGGTAAAGTTATAAAGTTGTAAGTGTGCTTAAGAAACATGTCAAGAAAATATATTGGGTGAGATCAGTGCTAACTAGATGAAGGTAAATGGTCAGCTTCACACACCCATTTCTTTTTCTCCAGAGAAAAGTCTGTAACCATTGAATAGAAGGCTGGTGGGCCCTAGAGCCATCCTAGACATAATGGCAAAAAGAAAATCTCTTTTACTGCTGAAATTGAACCCTAATTGTCCAGACTATAGCAAATCACTTTCCTGAGTTTTCCTGGATTATAGCTTAATCAGCAGGAGTGCCAGTAAAAGAAGAATACGAGATTACTGCGACTAAATAATGTACAGGAATGACTGCTACAACTTGTGTCACTTTTTTAAATCTCACATTAAAATTATACACAGAATACTGAACATGCCAGCCTGGCAGAATGTGATGTTTATTCGTGTTGACTATTTCTTTATCCATTGGTGTTTAACCACGTAAGGATTTATGGAATGCTGAATGAATGAATGAATGAATGAATGGCATTCCTGGATGAATTCATATGGTATGGATAATAGTGGAGACTGATATACCTAGTTGGAGCTGTTTTATTGTATCAATGTATATTAAAAAACGCAATCTAAATATTGGACATGTCTTTTGTTGCTTCTACAAGCTGTCTAGGCCTGCATTATGATTGGTGAATTAACATTTTTTCAAATTAATCTCAATTAAAAATTAGTACCACTGTACATACAGTTCCATGTTCAACATTAATTATACTTGATGAGTTAATGAATTTCAATACGCTTTGGAAAAAACATGATTATATGCTTATGGTGAGGGATAACTGTCTTTTAAGCTTCAAGATATAAAAGGATTTATTTCTGATGTGTATATGGGTATGGTTATTTCCATAGTTCAATGAAGGATGCTCAAAATTACTAGACCAAAGCAAACAAGCCAGACTGCAATGGTTACAGGATCCAAGCAAAATAAATAGGGATAACCTGAACAATATAAGACGCAAAACCAGGAGGCATTTCAAGAACAAAAAGGGAATATCTGAAAGACAAAATTGATGAACTTGTAATGAACAGTAAGAACAAAAACTTTCGTTGGTCGCGCCACAGCTCAATCAGTTAGTCGCTGGCTTCCACCGTGGCAGCCCGGGTTCGATCATGGGTGTGGTCAAATGGAATTTGTGATGGACAAAATGGCGCTGGGGCAGGTTTTCTCCAAGCACTTCGGTATCCCCTGCCAATCTTCATTCCACCAAATTCTTCATCATCATAATCACCCAGGACAGGCTACATTAGGCCAATGAGTGGCCGCCGTGCCGAGAGGACCCAGTTGGACTCCACCCCCACTAAACGAATTTAAAAAAAAAAAAAAAAGAAGACCAAGAACATTAGAGACCTGTATAGAGGAATAAATGACTTTAAGAGGGGTTACCAACCTAGAAGTAACTTAGTGAAGGATGAGAATGGTGATCTGCTTGCAGATTCCCACAATATTCTGAATAGGTGGAGGAACTACTTCTCTGTTATTGAATGTACCTAAGGTCAGTGATGTTAGGCAGGTAGAAATGCACACAGCTCAACTGTTATTACCTGATCCCAGCCCTTTTGAGATTGAAATTGATATTCCAAAATTGAAAAGGTATAAATCACCAGGTAGTGATCAAATTCCAGCAGAACATGTTCAAGTAAGAGGCGAAATATTATGTTCTAAGAGCCATAAGCTAATTACTTCTATTTGGCACAAGAAAAAATTGCCTAATTAGTGGAAGGAATCTATTATTTACCAGTTCACAAGAAGGGTGATAAAACTGACTGCAGTAATTATTGGGAGATATACCTGCTGTCAACTTCATACAAAATTTTATCCAATATTGTTCTCTCAAGGTTAGGTCCATAAATATATGAAATTATTTGGGGTCATCAGTGTGGGTTTCAACACAACAGATCAACTACAGATCAGATCTTTTGCATTCGTCAGATATTGGAGACATCAGCTATTTGTAGACTTCAAGGAAGTCTTTGATTCAGTTAGGAGGGAAGTATTGTACAATATTCTCATAGAGTTTGGAGTACCCATGAAACTAATTAAGCTGATTAAAATGTGTTTAAACGAAACTTATAGTAAAGTCTGTATGGGTAAACATTTGTCTGATAATTTTCCTATCCAGAATGGTCTAAGACAAGGAGATGTTTTATTGCCACTCCTTCTCAACTTTGCTTTAGAATATGCCATTAGGAAGATCCAGGAAAACCAGGTGGAACTGAAATTAAAAGGGACACATCAGCTGTTGGTCTTTGCTGATGTTGTGAATCTACTGGGTGATAAACGAAAAACACACAAAACTAAATATATGTTGCTGTCTCATCACCAAAATGCAGGGTAAAATCATGACATAAAGATAGAAAACCGATGTTTTGAAAATGTGGCACAGTTCAGATATTAGGGAATGATAACAAATCAAAACCTGACTCGGAGGAAATTAAGAGGAGATTGAACTCAGATAATGCTTGCTACCATTCAGTCCAGAACCTTTTGTCTTCTTGTCTGCTGTCCAAAAACATAAAAATCAGAATATACAAAACTATAATTTTGCCTGTGGTTTTGTATGGGTGTGAATCTTGGTCTCTGACATTAAGGGAGGAACACAGGCTCAGGGTGTTTGAGGAGAATATTTGGACCAAGGAGGGATGAAGTGACAGGAGGTTGGAGAAAACTGCATAATGAGGAGCTTCAAAACTTGTACTCTTCTCCATGTATAATTAGAATGATCAAGTCAAGGAGGATGATATGGGCAGGGCATGTAGCATGAATGAGAAGAAAAGGAATGCATATAGGATATTGGTGGGAAAGCCAAAAAGAAAGAGAACACTAGGAAGACCAAGGCATAGACGGGTGAGCAATATCAAAATGGATCTTAGCAAGACAGGATGGGATTGTATGGATTGGATTGATCTGGCTCAGAATAGGGACCAGTGGAGGACTCTTGTGAACATGGTAATGAACCTTCGGGTTCCATAGAAATTCTTGAGTAGCTGCAGATTTTGCTTCTCCTCAACAATGGCTCAGCTCCATAAGTAAGTAAGTATATGGTTATTTCATTATACTGATGGTATATAGATAGATAGATGAAGAACTGTGTGTTTGCTTCATAGACTGGCAGAAGGCATTTGACTGGATAAACTGCACCAAATTAATGCAGATCCTAAAAGAAACAGGTATCGATTGGCGTGAAAGAAGATTGATTAGCAAATTGTACATGGATCAGAATGTTAGAGTACGATTGGACAGAGGGGAGACAGGAAGTGTGCAGATTGGAAGAGGAGTTCGACAAGGATGCTGTTTATCACCAATTCTGTTCAACTTGTACAGCGAATGCCTTACCAAGGAAGCTCTGGATGGGCTCGGAGACTTCAAAGTAGGAGGGCAAATTATTCAAACTGTGAAATATGCAGATGACCTTGTGTTAATGGCTAAGGAAGAAACTGTGCTACAGGGCATGATTGATAGACTAATTGAAATTGGAAGGTGCTATGGCATGGAAATGAATGTGGAAAAAACAAAAGTAATGAAAAT